CGCAACACGCAACACGCAACACGCAACACGCAACACGCAACACGCAACACGCAACACGCAACCCGCAACGCGCAACGCACAACGCACAACGCACAACGCACAACGCACAACGCACCACACACCACGCACCACGCACCACACGCACCACACACAACACACACAACACACAACACAACCCACAACGCACCACGCATAACGCACAACGCACAACGCACAACGCACAACGCACAACGCACAACGCACAACGCACAACGCACAACACACAACACACAACACACAACACACAACACACAACACACAACACCCAACACCCAACAGCCAACAGCAACAGCAACGGCAACGGCAACGGCAACCACAACAACAACAACAACAGCAGCAGCAGCAGCAGCAGCAGCAACAACAACAACAACAACCACAACCACAACCACAAGAAGGCGTGTAACTTGTTTGTCCCTATCATGTAACAGTCGGCTGCGGCCAAGGTTCACGCCTGACTTTTGGTACCACAACGCGCCCCTGATGCGGAACGCAGACATCGTGGACTTGAGCGAGGAGCTGGTCGACTGGAACTTCTACCATGACAGGGTCTACGGCTTTGTGAAGTGCGTTTTCAAGCTCATGGATGGCTGGGAACATGACGCCCAACACGACGAGGCCAGTAAGCATTTGCTGGAGGAGTCGGAGGAAGTAGAGGAGGTGGGAGATGCCATTGCGGCGGTGGCAGTTGCTGAAGAGGCCGTCGCCGCCACTTCTAGCCACGTCAAGCGTGAAGGCGATGTGAAGGTCGCAGAGGAAGATGTCGCCAAGCTACGCAGGTCCGTGGGTTTTGATGATGACTTAGACGCATACGCCTTTGATGTCGCAAGACTCGTCCAGCGCTTCAAGAACAAAGAGCGTCTCCCTTCACGAATTCGTGTGAGGATATACTTTGTCAAGGCCATCTGCATCTTTGGCAAGCAGGTGGAGGGCTTCTTTGGCAAGGCCTTCATTGACCCCTACTTGGCCTACAAGCTTGGGACCAACATTTTGGTATCCATGCGAAACATGGCGCAGTTCAACACCAACGTGCCCAGCTTCTATCGTGTGGAGGAGCGGGACATCGTCATGCCGCAGGAGGGCAGGCTACAAGTCGCCCCTCGCCTGGGTGAGCTGTGCTACAGGTATTTCATGATTGTGGCTGATTGCGGGCTGCAATGGGAAAGTAAAAGGACATCGTGCTTCTACTTTTTGGGAACGGGACAAAAAGACTTTGATTTGTTTTTGTCCCAAACGTTTTGCCACTGGCGCCGTTGGTGTCCATTGTGTCGGAGTGCATCCAAGGACTTGTTCGATTATCAAGATGCCTTCGGTGAAACCATCAACGGCGAGAAGCTGATCGGCAGTACCGTCGTTGATCTTGAGGACTGACAAGTCTTGGGCTACAGCGCTAGCAAGCGTGGTGGCAAGCGACCAATAGGCATACCAGGGCCTCAACATGGTGTTGCTGTTGAGTGCCAAGTGCAAGGTTGCAGTGGTTGTTTTGCTATGTGCACACCTGCTCTTGCACCCAGATGGGATTGGAGGCCTTATCCGAATCAAGTCAAATTGTAGGTAGATCAGAATGCTGAGACCTTGACTGCTATTGGGTTGGATCTTTTAGACTTTAACTTTTTGGGAAATCAAGGGGTTTTCCACTAAGCCCCCAAAAAGTTAACAACTTTTTGCAGGGGGGGGCAGCAACCAAGAGACGTTGCAGGATCGATGGCACTCAAATGCCTGGAAAGATGCCATGGATCGGCGCCAGCAGATTCCGACGGAGAACCGGGCCCTCATCAACCCACAACTCTCGGGCCAAAATTGTGGCAGCTCCTTGGCCCTGTTGCCGAGTTGTGATGTTCTTGAGGTCTAAGAACATCAAGGAATGAAGGGAGACTGCCATGAGAGAATTGCTGCGTGTTTGATTACATGGACCTCCCCATGACTGGTGTTTCAATTGTGTTTCATCCCCCCAGAGCGCGCGATTATTGCTACACTTCTCCGCGCTTTTCATTTTTAGGTATCGAGATGTGGGTAGAGATGATTGACAGTGTGCGGGCCTCCGACATCAAGGCTCGAGGGTCAGGCATGAGGATTCCCAGCAGCTGTGAAACTATTTGTGTTGGACAAGCAGCAGCAGCATGTTGCTTATGGATGTTACAGCTCAAATAGTTGTGCGTACAGTGCAGGCGGCTTACTGTAACAAAGCCGCACTTGCCCTGAAGGGAAAGCCAGCTGCTTGCCAGTTCCCATGAACCCATGAGCAGCCAAGCTTCGCAATCAAGCGGCTGGTTCGCGCAACCTGACTCCAAGCAACTCCAGCAACTCCTCCATTGATTTCACCTCGGCTCTTTCAGCTCGGGGCCCGTTTCGTTCAGTTCTACTCGAAGCTTGCATGCCTTCCGCCCACCATTTGTGGTCGGCTGCAGGCCTCGGAGCTCCGAAAGCCTCCTGCCATGGAGATCGAGGTGCGCCTGGTGATCCGCACCTGCCCCTCGGAGCCAAATGGGTATGGCTCACAATTGAAGAACCAGGGTTACACAGGTTTTGGTTCATGTTTCCACTTACCAGGCTTCATTTTGGTACCAGTTTTTTGGTTACGCGGGTTTTAGTCTCAGGTTCTATTATATACCAAGGTACCATGTTGGTACCCTTTTTTTTGAGCCACAGCCAAATGGGCGCTGGGCTGCGCTAAATGTGTGGCTGGCGTTGGGATAGATAGGCAACGGCTTCGGTGCTCTGGCAAAACAACTTCTGGATGCAACGACAGAGGGAGTGAAAGGGAGAGAGAGGAAATCTTTGAGTCAGCAAATTCCAAAGCAAGCAAAAGTTCGCTAGGACATGCAAGCTTGATTCTCCTTTTACACTTGGGCTTTGCATTTAGGCTACTGGTGCCAAATTCTGCTTTTATACTTGGGCTATGCATTTAGGCTACTGCTAGCAAATTGTCTTGGCAAGGTTCCCGCACAAGCCGCATGCATTGCTAGGCAAGAACGTGAAGCTAATGGATGGCACCAAGACAGATGTCAAGGTCACCGTAGACTTGGAGTGCAAGGAGTACGAGGGCGTCACCATGGGCTTTCCAAAGTTGCAAGCCACCGATACCCACATCGGCTCCACTGGGAATGCCATCTTCAACTGGCGTGTGGTGTACCCGCGCATCGTCATGCCTACCAAGTCCTGCACCTTGGAACCTGGTCCGCATTCCTGGTGGGCTAACTCGGTGGGCTCTCTCAGGCTGTGAGCTGCCTGAACTGTGCTTTGGCCCCACCCTACCATCTCTAGCCGGCAACTCTCCTTTCGCCATGCGCCAGTGCCATGCAGCTCCAAGGCTATGGTTCCCCTTTGGGGGGGGTGCGGGGGGGCGGGGGGAGGCTGGTCATCTGTCGGGCGGCGACGGCCCGAGGACCTGAAGCTGTACCAGGCCAACAACCTCTCTGCTGACGAGTTCATCGGGGCCGTGAGCATCGACCTGCGGCGCTACGTGGAGAAGGTGGCGCGGGATATGGACATGATCTACATCGAGAAGGCGGCGCCTTGCCTTTGGCTTGGGCATCCCGTTGCAAACAGCGGGGCTGTGGGTTCATTCATTTGAAAGGCCTTGGGAGCCGTGTTGAAATGCTCATCCATGCATGCTTGAAGGGAAGTATCTTGGCAAGTTCTGCGTTGGCAGGGCAATATGCGGCAGTTTGTCCGCGTGAAAAAGCCAAGGACTTGCAATTCTCCGCCAGCGCTGGCGGGGAAGAAGATGGAGGCGGCGAGGGCGCGGAGACCGTAGAGGAGGAGAACGTAGGGTCTGTGCAGCCCCGTGGCTGCCATTGGCATGAGAAGAGCCCGAACTCTCTGTAGTCAGAACGGGTCTCCTTCTCAGTGCTTTCCTGTTGGTTTGCGCAGTTGGTTGGCTGCGGGGAAAAAGCCTTGACTCAAGACAAGGCGAGCCTCGACTCGAGGTGTTTTTTTCCTATTTGGCAGCGTGACTCAAGCAACACACCCACACACTCTGACTTGAGATGGGCCTTTTGGCTACATCAATCCAGGTTCTGGCATGGGTCCGGCAAAGGGCGTCCAGGTCAAAGCTTTGTGTGTGTGCCAAGGTTCGAGATGTGGTTCATGACCCAGAGCGAGGCCAACCAAAAGCGTGCCGGCAAGGGACGGGAGGACCCCAACGACTTCCCTCAGTTGGTAACGCCGGCTGAAGGCAGAGGATGGGGAGATGTCCTCGCTGGCTTCTCTATCTCCTTGCCTGATTTCGGCCTCATGAAGAAGATCATCCCCATCGTCCTCTTCACCTTGCTTTGCTTAGTGCTGCTCAGATTTATCGGGCTTCTCTAGATCTTCCGTCTCACAAAAGATTTCAATCATGGCCTGCCGCAGGCCACGAAGATTCATGGAACGCCAAGGCATTGCTTGTGAGGGTGTTTCAATCAACACCAAGTCTGCCATGTTGCGGCTTCAAAACTGGAACGAGCTGTTTCATCATGAGGGAGCCGGGTATTGTAGGCAAGCATGCGTTATTTCTGAATGAAGTTCACATGTACGTCCAAACTAGGGCTTGCACTCACCAACACGGGGTTTGCGGAAGGAATCTGCGACCTCTAGACAGTAGCAGTAGGCTTTGGGCTCAATGCAGCCAGTTTCACCTCATGCAAGCCATGCGCAGAGAGGCGCTAAGGCAAAGCCAGCCACGCTCGGCCTTCAGATGCCGGACGGCGTGCGACAGGCTGCATGCAGAATGCCACATGTGCGTAGAGATGCTCATGGCACCTCGCATGCAACAGCCAGGTTTCGGAACGAAAAGTTGCAAGGATGCGCCAACAACCCGTCAAACTGGTGACCCCAATGGTGAGGTGAAGGTTGGGAATGACACAAGGCCAGCCTGGTTTCAAAGCTGTGTCTTCGCTGGCCCGTGTCTTGGTTGTGACTCACCACGCAAAATGGCTCACCAGTTCCGTACTCCAAAAAGCGAGCGAGTGCCAGAGTGCCAGGCGCTGGAGATGGTGGCCAAGCGCTCCGGCTGGGAGTTGGTGAACAAGAGTGGTCACATCCTTTGGGTCGTGCCAGGGGCCCAGCGAGGTTGCGCTTGGAAGGCTTCCACGGCCTGTGGCTTTCTGTTTTTCTTTTGAGAAGCTGGGGACGCGCCAGATCCAAGCTTGAGCAGTTCATATGTTCCATTTGGACAAGCCCAAGCTCTACGGTTGGGTGACTCATCCATGAGCTGAATGGTACAGCGACCCTCGCAGCCCGAGGCGCAAGGAGGACAGTGGCACTGGGGTGTGGGAGCGCCCCTCTACAACTAGGGAACAACAATCATGTGAAACGTCGTTCCCCCTTATTTCTTAGCTGACATGATTCTTCTTTATGCTACTGGACTTTTACGGGTCTGTGGCACAATGGCAGGCCGTAGCGGACGGGAGGTTGCAGGTGCAAGTCCTGCTAGCCCTACAATTGCTCCATCAAAGTTTTAAGACTTATGATGGTTGGCGAGACGGTCTGTATAGTACAACTACAGAGGTGTGCAAGTAGCAAGTCACGTCATGGACTGAGGCTGTTGTCAGTCCTCATCAGGCAGCATTTTGTTGCTCTCCCGTCAAGCCAGGTTACAGGTTGTAGGGGCTCACGCATACGGACAAGTGGACTCCATGATGAGATGCCACTGACCAGTCAGCAAGCCGAATTAAGCTGCCAAGGCAAATCGCCCTTCGGTATGTTGATCAGTGCGGCGCGCGTGGGTCCCTTGAGGGTGGAGACAGGAAGATTCTGTTTTTGCTGATCCAGAGAATGCGCCATGAGTGTCATGGCCGCCCCACCCTTCAAGTGCATTTGGCTTACTTAGTGGCTAAACTTACAGCAACCTGCGAGTTTCAGAAAAGTCTGGGAATGACTGATTTGTCAAATGAAGCACCAGTCGTAGAAAGGGCCTGAACAGGAAGCCATGTGCTCAGGATCCGCCCCCACCACAAAGGTGCGCTTGGCAGCTCTGCTTTTGGCTGCGGTGGGCTGCCAGCGCTGCTATGTGTTTGCTTCGTCAGCTGATTTTGGGAGCTGCGCGCGATGTGCCAGATGCGGGAGAAGCTCGATGGATTCCGTTTACAGCATCTTCCATCCCAACTTGAACGGTGATTTGTCCAAAGAGGACAAGCGCAGCCATATCGCGGCCATCCAGGAGAAGGCCGTGGCCAAGGCGGCCCAAGAGGGATACGTGTTGAGCAAGGAGGTTGAAGATTTCCACAAGAGAAAAGGCTGGACCACTATGCAACTCAAGCGGTGGTTCAGCAAGCATCACGCAGGGCTTTGGTGCAAGTTGACCATCTCCGAGCGCAAGAAGAGCAATTTGCAGCTGTGTGTCATCGGTGCAAAGGTTTGGGGCTACGATATGGAGGTGCACCTGAGCCAAACTGGAACAAATAGCAAGGTGGTGGTTGTCAAAGACCTTACCAACCTGAAGGTTTTTTGTGCGGTTGCAGGCATTGGATATGTAAAGGCTACTTCTGGGGACTGATTGGCTTGTGCCAGCCGTGGTGCCCTCACAAGCTGAGGTTGCGATGTTTCAGAAGTGTTTTATTCATCCTGGTGCTCGGGGTTCAGATGTGTTGACTTTAGCAAATGCAATGCACCTTGTTGAGGAGGGCACCGTGCAACAAACTTGTTGTGCGGCTGAACTTGCTGAGGACGTTTAAACCCAATGTCAGTGGTTGCGCGTCTTTTTGGCAGTTTGCCCTTTGAGTTGTGAGTTGTAAGTGTTTCACAGGCGAGCGGCCAAGAAGACTTTTGATTGTGGATTGATACTTTCGTGAAATGCCAGACATTGTGACAGCATGATGCTTGGGCACTGGTCCCACGCAAGTAGTCGCCGTTGTATATCAACTTAGCGCGCAGATATCTATCTGACCAGTGCCCAGCAAAAGACGAACAACTCCCATCGTGCTGCTGGTAGAGTGCCATTCGCTGCACCCCTCCGGCAGAGTGCCGTTTGTTGCACCCCAGGCATGTGTGATGGAAGTTCCTCGGAAGAGCTCGAAAGAAGTGTCTTTGGCTGACTGCTTTTGTCCCAGGCACCAACATGCAAATTGGACTTGACTCCGGCCAAGCCATTCCTTCCCTGGTCCTCCTTTTCAGCCCCAAAATGGAGCACACTTTTTTGGCTAGCCCCCCTAGGTTGAGTGAGGCACTTCAAAGTTGAGATAGTCGAGCACGCTTGCAACTGGAAGCAGGCTGTTTTTGCAGGGGCTACATCTATACAACTGGCCTTGGCTGCGTTGCCTGCACAGAATCGGCTGGGCAAAGCTGTAGTCACCAGCTCTCTCAAAGCGTCACCCTCCCCCTCGCAAAGCCGTAGTCACCAGCTCTCTCGAAGCGTCAGCCGTCACCCTCCCCGTCTCAAAGTGAGAATGTTTAGTTTGGGTACACGATATGGGACGTTTGTGATGATCAAGAGTCCAGCTGTCACATGCTGTGCCATGCTCGTCTTGGCAATAGTTCGGTCGCAGCATCGGCATGCCCGCCTCTACAGGCTGAACAGAGGGCCTCCGGGCCCAAAGTCCCTGTCCCAGATGTCAATGGCGCAGGATGTGGCGGAGAGCCTTCTGCAGCTGCAGCCTGGCCAATGGTTGTCCCACATCCCCGGCATGCACGAGGCGCCTGGCCCGCCTTAGCTAAGGGAATGCTGTTGGCTTGGCACCGTGCCAGGCGTGCAGCAAGGCCAGCCTTGCGAATGCCTTCAAGGCGCCTGGCCAGCTCAGAAGCTGCCCCGTCTACCCCCCAAGTAGCTTACCATGCTCTCTTTTTTCCAATTGGTTTTTCAAATTTAGACACTGAGTTGAAGCATCTTCATTGTTTCGCTATGCAGGCCACCGCTTCGTTCTGGCCTCGCACCTGGGTCATCCAAGGGCAACTTGGCAGAAATGGGCGCATGCAGGCAAATTTCTTGTCAAATGTTGCCCACTCCAATGCGTTTTCTTCCACACCTGCTTGATGAATGCGGGTTCAGGGAAGCATTTTCGTGCCTGCCATTCGCTACAGCCGTGCTGCATGTATAGGTGTCAGGGGATATCAGGGGGCCTGAGCAGGCAAGCTTAAGAACTGCACAGCGTGGGCGCCTGGGCGCCGTATACCAGGCATGACACGGTATTCCATTCGCAGCATCTTCGCTCTCCTTGGAGTCGTTTCTTCGGGCGCCAGTGTCAAAGAAGGATACACGAGGGCATGTTGGGATTGTCTTGGTACTTTTGTCGTCAGCTCCTTCCGAGATCTGTCAGAACGGTTGTGGAAAACAATGGTTGTGCCTGATATATGGGTATGGATCAACATTAAACCACCAGGGGACCGCAGGTTTTGGTCCATGTTTCCACTTACCAGGGTTCCATTTTGGGTACATATTACATATTCTTGGGGAATCACAAAAAAGCCGAGACCGCTGCAAGAACTCTAAGGCCGGAAAGGCCGGACCTCGCAGCCAGCGACTCAGAGCTGGGATGCTGGGTGCCGATGATTCCCGTACTAAAGGGCATGCATTTCCACTTTGTTGGGCAGATTTGGTCCCCTTGGTTGATTGGAAGAGGGTAGTGAGTGATTTTCTTTTGCGAGCGGGTAGAACTTTTGCTCACATGCTCATGTCGGTCCTTGGGCCAATTCGTATTTCAGACATAACGCCAGATGGCTCCCATGGATCCGCGACATCCGCCAGGACATGTTGAGCAGCGGCTTTGTCATCGTGAAGCCGAACCGCGGGCTCCAAGGCAAAGGCATCCACCTGGCCCGGCACTCAGGGCGGAGAGATGGCTCAGGCAGGCGCTGGGTCAGTGGGTCAGGTGACAGGCATGGGCCAATCTGAACCTCAAGGCGACAAACTCAGAGGCACTGACCGCACACAATTTGGCGATTCAGAGGCTTGCTCCAGCGATGAGCTGCAGCGAGCATTGTCGGACGACGTAGATGCTTGGCAGCGATGTGGTGCGTGCTTTGCTTCTGAGCGCTCGGCATTTGCTGTTGCGAACAGTGCGTTCGGTGTGTGCTGCACAATTGCCTAGAAGCATGGACCAACAGACATTGTGCGGTTGGCAGTTCAAGCTGCTTACAGAAGCTTCAGGTGGTGCAGCAGTACATCAGCCGCCCTTTGTTGCTTGATGCCCGCAAGTGGGACCTGCACCTCGACTGGGGAACATGAAGAACTCAGCTGGGGAGTGCCGTTCTTCCTGTGGGGCTTGTTGAATTCTGGATGCCTGGTCAGCAACTCTCCCCATCAACGAATCCCTTAGCACGTGACTGGAGCTGGCTCAGGCGGCTTTACGCATTGGTCTTGCCGCACGAGGATGGCCTGAGATGCTGGCTGGCACGGGAAGGCATCGCCCGAGTCTGCGCGGACATCTACGAAGAGCTGAGCCACACCAACGCGAAACGGGACACCATGCACCTCACAAACTACAGCTTGAGACTTGGTAACAAGTGGTCCGGTTTGGAGACTTATGCGTGATACGTGCATTCCTCCGGGCCTGCGCCCTGCCCATCCTGGACACCCATTTTGATACAGCTCATGGGCAGGGAAGCGTGATCCAAGAGTGAACAAGCCAAGCTTTTGTTCACATCAGAGAAAACTCTGGGGCAAAGAGGCGTACATTCTCCTACACTGGTTGCTCTCGCCGGCGGCTTTTTGCGCCCTGTTGGGGTGAAAGGGGGGGGACTGCGAGGAACAAGCGCTCGGAGAAGTTTGTGTGCAACGAAGACCCCGGCAGCGGGCACCGCGGCGGCAAGCGCGCTCTCTCAGCGGTGCTGCTGCGCCTGCAGAAGGAGAAGCTGCGCGGGGCTCAGCGGCTCAGCGTTCAGATTCGCGTTTGGTTTTGAGGGTGCCCATCTTGCGCCTACTTTCAACGGCCCAGGGAAACCAGACCCTTCTGGGGGGTTCCGCAGGTTGAGATTCGACCCCATGGGTTGTATGACGGGAGGGGCCCGCGCGCGCTCGTTCGATGCCTCGCACGAGTTCTGCGATGGACGCGCCAGGATCGCCTCGGCTGCAAGTGTTTGGGAGGAGCTGGGCAACTTGGTGCAGCACACCGCAGGCAACTCGCCCACCATGGCCTACTTTTGGCTTGGCGCTTGTGGTGTGAATTGTGTTTTCCTTTTTTTTGGTCCCCTTCTCCGAGACCTCAATGCTTAGCCTGGTGGCGTGGCGCATTTGTTGGGGCCAGCCAGGCGCCATGAGGGATGAGCTTCAGAAGCTGGCATTGGATCCATCGACTTGGGATGGGCGTGAGGAGGTGGCATTCAAATTGGAGAGCCGGGGCTTGGAATTGGGGGTTGATGAAACTGTCCTCCATTGGGGAAAACTACTTAACAGATGGTATGTCCCGCTATGTCCCACTAAATTGGACAAGTTACCCATGGTCATGTCGGGGCCAGGAATATTGATGAACCCCCAATTGAAGCCAAGTTTCTGCTCAGGCATCGGGTGGTTGAAAAAAGTAAGGCGCACAGGCTTCAAACAAGTTTAAGTAGTTCCTGACCAAGTTTTGAGTGCCCAGAGTCCCGGAGTCGCGGCAGGTTGTACAGGCAGTGCACACCAAGTTCAGCCAAAGCTTTCACATTCTGGGCCACGACCTCAGGGATTCCATGGGGTCCATTCTTGCCCATCATGGTAAAAGAGGTTAGAGGCCCCGCGAAACCAAACTGCACTATTCAAGAAGGGTGGGCCCAAGACCCACTTGCAGGACAAGCGGGAACTGCTTACAGAGCTTTTCTTTGTTTCTGTGGCTTTAGCGTCAACAATGCTTTGCGGAAATGGAGTTGGGTTTGGTGAGCGTGTTTGGAACGTCACGGCTCAGGGACGTCAGCTGAAGAAAGATGAACAACTATTGCTGTCAGAGGGACCTCTTTCCCAATCAAAAGCTCTGGGTGTGTGTGTCTGTGTCTGTGTCTGTGTGTCTGTGTGTCTGTGTGTCTGTGTGTCTGTGTGTGTGTGTGTCTGTGTGTGTGTGTCTGTGTGTGTGTGTGTGTGTGTGTGTGTGTGTGTGTGTGTGTCTGTGTGTGTGTGTGTGTCTGTGTGTGTCTGTGTGTGTCTGTGTCTGTGTCTGTGTCTGTGTCTGTGTCTGTGTCTGTGTCTGTGTCTGTGTCTGTGTCTGTGTCTGTGTCTGTGTCTGTGTCTGTGTCTGTGTCTGTGTCTGTGTGTGTGTGTGTCTGTGTCTGTGTCTGTGTCTGTGTGTGTGTGTGTGTGTGTGTGTGTGTGTGTGTGTGTGTGTGTGTGTGTGTGTGTGTGTGTGTGTGTGTGTGTGTGTGTGTGTGTGTGTGTGTGCGTGTGTGTGTGTGTGTGTGTGTGTGTGTGTGTGTGTGTGTGTGTGTGTGTGTGTGTGTGTGTGTGTGTGTGTGTGTGTGTGTGTGTGTGTCTGTGTCTGTGTCTGTGTCTGTGTCTGTGTCTGTGTCTGTGTGTCTGTGTGTCTGTGTCTGTGTGTGTGTCTGTGTGTGTCTGTGTGTGTCTGTGTGTGTCTGTGTGTGTCTGTGTGTGTCTGTGTGTGTCTGTGTGTGTCTGTGTGTGTCTGTGTGTGTGTGTGTGTGTGCAAGCCCCCAGGGCCCGAGACAGTCATCAGCTTCCCCATGCAAGCCTCTGAGCCAACCCTAAACCCTGAACCCTAAACCCTGAACCCTGAACCCTGAACCCTGGAAAGATCATGCCACGTGCCAAGGAATCGACGTACTCCTGGACTCTTCCGGAAAGCCCTGGCTCTTGGAGGCGCGTTTTTCCGCACCAAGGGGGGCCTCAGTGGCCAAGAGTAGTTTAAAGCAGAGAATCAAGGAATTTCGGAGTAGCTTTCACACATAGAGGCGAACGGCCTTGCGAGTCCTTTGCCAAGTTCTGGCTTTTGGCAGGTGAATTGCAACCCTTCTTTCAGCTTGGAGGAGATCCACCCTTCCGCAGGATTAGCCAAGGCGTCAGATGTACCTCGAGCGCCGGGTGGCCGAGCAAAAGGTGAGCGCATCCAGCAAGGGACCTGAGCGACTTCGCAAGTGGCTAGTCCCAGTTGCTGGTACCAGAGATGTTTGCAATGCATCCAGCTGTGTCAAGGCAGTCAGTGCCGCTCCCCGAGGCTGGGCCAGCCTTGCGGCTGCCCCGCTCATCCGCAAGTGCACACTCACCAGCTTAGCCCAGTAGACATGGCGCCATGGCAGAATGCGGCAAGCAATTCAAAGGCATTGGGGCACTTGAGGGCTAAGTTGTGTCGTACGTGTTCTTGTCTTTGAACAGGAAGTCATTGCACATGGCTGTCACACCGTCACGCCTAGGGGCATGTTGAGACATGTCGAAGCGGGTTGGGCTGGGGGACATGGCCATGTGCTCAAGGCAGTGAAGCTGCCTGTGCTGGAGGGAGCAGTCACCATCGTCAGTCAGCTGACCAGCACTGACCCCACAGCGGGGACCATCTACACAGCTTTGAGCAGGTGATGTCACCTAGCTTGAAGCTGAGGAGCCTCCTCAGGCATGCTTCTCTGAAGGAGCGTGGTTTTGTTCATTGGCTGTACTGGGTTGTGCTGGTAGGAAGTGTGGACAAGCAGGCCCTGTGGGCCTTGTGAACGGCAAGGCCGCTCAGACAGTTTTGCGCGACCTTCGGGTGTGTGCACTTATAAGCAGCGATGCTTCCAAAACACACGCACGCGCATCCTTGCTCGGCTGGCACAGGCCAGGAGGTTGCTTTTCCATTGATAGAATCCTGTAACTGCCACTGCAACCGCATTGGCCAAGTGCCGGCAAAGCTGGGTGTGAAAAGAGGCTGCTGCTTTTTGTCTCCAACTCGACTGGGATTTTAGAAAGCCATGCTTTCTGAGTCACAGTGGGTTTGCCTGGCTTCCTGCCTGGCTTCCGCGAATTCCTCAATACTTACCGCGCCATTCATCTTCCAAAGGCCCCCTAAGAGAGATCCTTCAGAAGAAAGGGTGGTGAATGGAGGTTTCCCGGAGCAGTTGGGGCTAAGCACGAGAAGCTTGGCAAGCTTCACAGGGATTATGTTATGTTAGGAGGAGAGATGCTCATGACCTCAACTTGAGAGGTCTTGGAAGATCAAGGGCATTGTTTCAAGCCGGAAAGCTTGCTTATCGAGCAGGAGGTGGCCTGTCAAGGAACCGCAACATTGCCATTTCCAACTCATGCCATGTTGACAATCCTGAAGGTTTGATTCGGTTTGCCAAACGTACAGGTCTCAGAGTCGCTTTATTTGTTGCTTGCTTCCGTGGAGCATCATGGCATGGCACGTTTGAGCTGTCTTTGATCAGCCCTGTACGTGCGCAAGTTAGCTTGACGAGTGTCAAAGTGCTGGAAGGCCAGAAAAACATTGGCCGTTCCATGCAATTTGAAAGGTCTCAGCCATGCCGACCAATACACTGAGCGAGACCTAAACAATACCAAGACACGCGAGCAAAACATGTTCGCGCGCATGGCCCCATTTGCTGGGCTTTTCTTGGGGTATGTTGGGATTGGGCTCTTCGAGCCGTTGATGGCGATTTTGCATCGATCCTCTTGCTGCAGCAAGTATGGCTCTGAGCTAGGGGAGGAGGTGCTCAATCGCAACCTTTCGGCGCATGTTTCCGTCAATCCAACCGGCCTGCAATGTGAATCCTGTTCAGGAATGCTATTAAAGCCAGTTGCTTAGTTGACCAATTTTAAATTTCTGGTCTTTCTCTGTGGGCGCCTTGCAACCAGCTTGGCTGCACTTTAGATTGCATGGTGCACAGCCAGCTGTTCGTATGCTTCAATTGATGGAGGTGTTGCCCTAGCACTCAGCTGCATTTAACAACCCTCTTGGATGTTTTCGGTGCAAAAACGCTGCGAGCGTCCAAGCCATGGGTCATGGAGGACCAGGTCTTTGGCTTCGGCAAGCACCGGGGGAAGCGCTTCTCCGAGGTGCGAAGCAACGAGAGCGGCTACCTTCGCTGGGCCCAAGCCTTGGGCGAGATCTCCGGGCAGCTGAAGGTGCCGCCGACCGCTCAGCTAGCCCAAGGGGTTGCGTTGCACAGCACCAGGGTGCGTTGCGTTGGCGTGTTGCAGGGTCCATGGTGAGAAATGGCAACCCCAGACTCAAGAAGTCAGATCAAGTTAAGCTTGCTCCACGCGAGGCATGAGCTTCATGAGCTCAAAAGGTATGATCTTCAAGTTGACGTTGCGCAATCCCACGACGATCATGTTGCGCTGCAGCTTGCCCCCTCACCCCTCCCCCAGCTTCTTGGGCGCCAGGATTTCGTGGATTTCTGCGGGGTCCCCGAGGCAGACCAGGCCCCAGGGCCCGCAGGCGCAGCCACAGAAGCCCCAGCCTCTCAGGAATCAGCTCCAGAGCCGGCGGCAGGGGCCGGGAGGGCCACAAAAACGAGCCTTTCCGCAGAAGTCTGCAGCAGGGAGACTTTGCTGCGCTTGGCTGGGGCCGTTTGGTTGCAGTGTTGTATTGGTTTGATGCTATGCCTGAGTGCTGGGCCACAACTTGACCGTTGCTTAACGTTTCAGCAAGCTGGGGCTGGATGGGCTGCGTGCCCTCTGATTTTTGGGACCTGGGCAGACAAAGAATGCAGGTGCCTGTTGATTGTCTGGCCTTGTTGCAGAGGACACCTTTCGCATCGTGCCTGACAATGCGGCGTACGTCCCTCAAGAGATTTGGCGGGCGTTGACCGATTTGGATGGGTCCAAGCTCGGGGCTAGCAGGCGCGAGTGGTACTTTCCCCTGCCATCATACAGAGACGTCATGGAGCAGCTGAAGAAGAACGAGCTTTTGGCACGCAGTGTGGCTTGGGCCGGCAAGGCAGCTTTTGCGAGTCTATTTGCTTGTGGGCCGAATCGTTAGACGAGGCGGTACCCTATCCTGGCATGTTACTTGCTCCAACCTACCATGGGGTCGTTTTTTCGCAGCCCGAAATCTGGGCAAGCGCGGGGGAGGGGTCCAAAAAATTGCGATTCAGAAATCATCAAGTGATTTAGCAGGGGCAGGGGCCTCTACTGGGGAGCAGCCCGGAACCTTTTTTTTGCCGTTGCCAGGATATTGAGCCTTTGCCACCCTGGCTCCTGCGGTCTCTTCAGCATGACTGGATCGAGATTTCGGCCACAGAGGCCAATGCAAGCTCCTTACCCGCAAATGGAAGCAGCTCGAGGCAGGGCCTTTGGCTGCTTTGTTTCGTTGCCTGGCGCTGGACCATGACTGGATGCAACGGTAGAGAGGGAGATAAAGAGAGAGAGAGAGAGAGAGAGAGAGAGAGAGAGAGAGAGAGAGAGAAGATCTTGGGAGGAAAGCGGCGCGCTTTTGGGTTGTATGGCAAGTCGACTCGGCTGCCAGAATCACACCCAAACTCAGAGGGAATGACCCCCGATGTTGGCGGAGGATTCTCATTGACTTCACTCTTGTCTCCAAAAAGGGACGGGGGCACCATTGATGTTGTTGGCCAGTTGCCATCTGAAAGGGAAAGTAAAACGCAACTGTGATCCAGGTCCAGGCTAGAGTTTTCAGAAAGACCAAGCAATTGCTGCCAATGGAACCTGAGGCTTGCAATCCTTTCTGACTGGCCTGCCGCCAGAAATTGTGGAGGATGGGTTCGATTCAAAACTGGGGCTACCCAGGGGGAGGGAGGAGCCCTGTCATTTAGTCCATTTAGTCACTGTAGGTTCATGAAGCCGTTTGGTCGGCTGTAGCTTTAGCGTGCCTTTAGTAGCCGCGAATTCGCCGCGGCTGATGCTCCCGGAAACACCGCAGTCACGTCGGCCGCAGGAGCGCCCGGTCATGGAGTTCCAGAAGCAGGGCATCCTCTTTGGCCTCGCGAGAGGCGGCCGCTGCCTCCTGGGCGATGAGATGGGCCTGGGGAAGACGCTGCAGGCCTTGGCGCCCCGGAAGGGATTTGCCTCGGGCAGGCGGTGCGGGGGGCTGCCCTGGTGCTGCAGCACTGTCGTGCCCAGAGCAAAGTCTTTGGTGGCATGGTGATGTTCCCAGGACACGTTTCGAGAAAGAAGAACGCTTCTTTGAACTTCTGCCCTCCATAGCTTCGCCTCCAAGGAGTTGTGGGTCTGAGGCCATCGTGTCCCAGTTCCAAGAGGACTGGCCAGTGCTGGTGGTAGCGCCGTCGGCCTTGCGGATGGTCTGGCGGGATCAGGCGCTCACCTGGCTGCCGCTGAAGGAGAAAGACGTGCAGGTCGGGTTCGTCGATTTCGGGTGGCACTGATTGCTTTCTGAGGTGCCCAGATGAAGTGTTTGCTATGTAAAGTGGATGGGAGGACCGCCACTTAACGCGACTGGTAACCATCAAAGGTGGGTGTGAGCGTTTGCTAGAATCAATCGAGCTACGCGAGCCGCGGAGCTTCAACGCAGGAAGGTCTTGTTTGCAATTGAGGTGGGCGCCACTCGCTTTCATGCTGCGAGGCCCGTAGTGAAGGATGCGGGGTCCCTGGTCGCTGGTAACCTTCTTTTCACCTGATGGGCTGAAAGCTGTGAATCAGCTGTGCTTCATTCGTGGGCAAGTGTCCTGCCCTCACTGCAATGTTGAATTGGAGGCGTGGCGCACGTGTATTGCCTTCTAGTGAGTAGATGTGTTGGCACTTAGCTTAAGAGCGAGGCTCGTGGCCGCAGGGGCACCTTGTTGGATTGCTGCGCTTCCTGCCCCATATCAGGTGATATCCCAGGGCAAGCAGAAGCCCTTGCCAGAGTCGCGGCTGGTGATTGCCTCATACGAGCTGGTCACGCGGAACAAGCACCTGCAGCTTCGGGCCGACGGCCAATTCTACCAAGTTGCCCTGCCGTGCTTTCCCCTGCGTGCATTCTTTAGTTCAGGCGTGTTTTCAAGTGAGAAAGTCCAAGCATGCCAACACACACGATGCTATTTGTGCCATGGTTAGGGAATGAGCCAGCCTGGCATCCATGTCGTAGCTGCTCATGCAATTTGGTGGGGAAATGGTATCGCTAACAAGTTCCAGTACATGATTTGGTGCGTGGAGCATCATGTTCGCACCTAGGAAAATTCAGCTTGGCCTGTCCAGCTGTTGAACTGAAACAAGGCAAGGCCTACTCAAAATTCGTATCCGCGGCCAATTGCAGATCAAGTTATTTGCCCCAGCAGCCCGCCAGAAGATTAGGACTCGCCCAATGCATCGCGAAGAGTTTCTCCAGAATGCAGCTCGCGAAATCCACGACAGCGTTTCAGAGGGAGCTGCGACTCGTTTGCTGGTGCTCCTGCCAAAGGAGCTGCGCGAGACCGTGATCCAAGAAGCAGTTTGCGACGTTGACATGGCAATCATGGAAGAGAGGCTGCAGGCATTCGAAGAGCTCAATCTGACCTGCCACTGCCATGTGTGCCGCGAGACGACGCCCCAAGGAGCAGATGCGATGCCACGCTGCGAAGTATCCAAAAGCTTGCTGCTGAAGAGGTTGGTGGCAACTCAGCGAAGGACATTCACTTTGCCCCCTTATGATAGCATTTTCTCTATCCGGTTTTCGTGCCCCATGAGTCTGTGCTGTCCTTGATCCACATCTGAATCTAGATTCGCTCATTTCGCCCGAAGGATTCCAAGCCCGAACATCTCTAAATTCGCCCATCTCTCCTGCACAACAGTTTCTCGGCAACTTGGGGCTCGAAACTGGTCTTTTTGAACCCATCCGGGTTTTCAACTTGAGGACTTGAGGCTCTTTGTTAAACCATGTTAAACCCATCCGGGTTTCCCAACATGAACCTGGACTTTTGTGAGCCCGTTCGTTTTTTGCCAACCCAAGGCCCAGTTCGCCCGCGACTTCGCTCCGGAGCTCTACTCCTTCGGAGACCTCACGGCCGTCCTCACGGCGCGGCACCAGGCGGCCTGCGCCGCGCTGGCGCAGAGGCGGCGTGCTGCCCGTGCAGTGGTGCAGGAGACCTGGCGCCAGCGGATAAGGCTGATGCGGCCTGGCCGCTTTTTCGTTTTTTTTTTTTTTTTTTTTTTTTGGGGGGGGGGGTCAGGGAAAGGACCTCATTTTTAGTGAAGGGTTCTTCTGGCAGGTTGCACGCATCTTCAAGCCCAAGATACAAAAGGTATGAGCCGGAACCAGAAGAAATCGTGTTACTGCTGCCGCAGGGACATGTATTGGAGGGGAATAGAAGGGTGAAAACATGTGAAAACCAAGAACCAACAAGTGCAGCGTTTGAACACAAAGGCTTCATTGTGTGTACGTGGCGGCTTTTGCAGTGCACGAGCAAGTCTTGAGACGAAACCTAGTGGAAGCATGTGGAAGCTTTGTTCACATTTGGTCTTTGGGGGATTGTGAACATCGGGTCCTTTGAACCAAGATAGATGAGAAGCAACCGGACCGGAAGGTTGCTTGCAAGACCCCGGCTGGCAAGTCATTTTGACAGTAAAGGACAGGAAAATGTTGACCCCGGATGAATGGACCCTGTTTACTAATTGGGGGGGTGTTCCCCCGAAAAGTGATGATTCCCCACTAAACCCAGGGACGCCCCCTATTTTTAATCAGGGGTTTTTAATCCGGGGTCAACACTAAAAGGCTTGGCTTGCGAAGAACAAGCTGCCAATAGTGACACTGGCTTGTGAGAGGAGGAGCTGGTTGACATCGCACGTAGGACCAGAAAGCCTGCCAACCGAAGCTGACGAAGGCTGTAGAGATAGTGCAGTTAGGCACATAATGCGTTTGGCGGCGTTCTCAGATACCGAACAGACCTGGTAGCACCATCCAACCAGAGCCTGGCAGCTTGCGAAGCACAATGTGATGTGCAGTTTAGGCAGCCATAATAAGCGATTAGCCATGCCCACGTTGGCCACCGTTCCATGTCAACCAAGCCTGCCACAAGTGCTAGCATTGCCAGTGAACAATGGGCACGCGATATGTTGCGAGCCCTCACATCACGCAAGTCATCATTCCCATTGAACCCGCAGCCCAGGCACCAGGAAGCTGCGCGGAAGCGCACCATTCGCATTGATGCCCTTCGGGACGACTTGGGGGAAGCCTTCGAGGAGGTCGTGCGAGGGCAGCAGGAGAGGCAAGGCTCCGAAGCCACCCCCAAAAGCCATGGGTTTATGGGCCGAAAGGGGACGACAATACGGATGGCTGACCCCAAGATCAAGATCAGCGTCCGACTTTGAGAAGCCAGCGAATCATTCCTCCGATGATTTCGATGCTACCTTGGAGTTGGGAATGGTTGGTGGATCCATGCTTAGGCTATGTTGGGTACTGGCCACTCAAACGGGGTATTGTGACCGTGTCTAACGGTGACGTTTCACAGGAGAGCACTTTTAGGTAGATCACATGCATGTTCAGTGTTCAGAACGCAGAACTCCGAGTCAGAAAGCAGAACTCGTTTGGGAAAGCAGAACTTGTTGGGTTTGACATTGTCTGGCTGATGGAATAAGTTGTTTGACCGGCCTTCCAATGTTGACCCAGTGGTTAAGTTTGGCTACTGACGCGGCGCCTGGTTCATTTGCGGGGATATGTTGAGTCCCTTTTTGTTCGTTTTGGAGCCATCTTCAATCATCAGCAGCTGGGTCGCCTGCGTGTTTTGGTGATGCGACCCGAGGCGCAGGAACCGGGGCGATGTGGATACCTCACAGTGGAGGGAGACTGTGCGCTGGTGGAATTCGGAGGAGGGGCAGCTGTTGCTTGGTGCACACTCATGGCACCCGGCATGTGTTCGCCGTTTTTTGGTAGCTATGCTTGGGGCCCCACATATGCTTGCGCAATTGGGCTTGACAAAAGCCGCTTCGAGAACCAAACGACAGATCTCAAGGCTGAGCCCTGCGCTGTTACTGAGGTTCTGGCACCCTCCGCCGCAGCCAACTCCATCGCTGGTGAGCGATCTCTTTCTGCCATCCAGGGCCAGGCTGCACGGCCTGCTGCCGGCGCCAGCGCGAGAGGTGCTGCTGGAGGTGCCAAAATCGGAAGCGCCTTGGAGGGCAAACGCGCTGAGTTCTTTCTCGGGATCGCAAGCCCACGGCCAAAGCGCGCGAGCCTAGCGCCTCAGGTGCCCTTCCTGGTGCTCAGGGCCGCCACATGGCTCGAGGATCAGCAGTGCCCGGGCCATCGCTTCCGTGGCTTCATCTCCGGGCGCTTAAACTTCGACCGCACCAACGGCGAGCGGGTGCCAAGCGTTCATGTGGCCAGCAAGCAAGCGGATGCGGATCAGCAGCTCACATGAACTGGCAAAGCTGCGCTTCGTTTGGTCGCTTTTGCTTTTTCCTGGCCGAGCAATGCGGAGTTGGCAATTGGCAGGAAAGTTTCGGCTGCGTTAGAATCCAGGGCACCTGGAAAGCTATAGGACTGTAGGGAGATAGAACACTTTCACTGATTCACAGCACTTGGGGAGGCCGGTGCTATTGGACGCCGCCTCCCTTGACAACCTCCTTTCTGGGGACGTGGTGGTGCCGCGACGAGTGCTCGGCTTGAATGGCCGGGTGGTGGCCACGGTGGGGTGGGAGGCAGGGGCAAAGTTGCAGCAATCAGATAATCAGACCCTTTCATGAGAAGCAAGTGGAGGTTGAAACAAGTTTTTCAAGGGGACCCCTCCCAAAAAGCAAGTATGGTTTACAGGGAAGCCACCCCAAGCAGATAGTTTCAAGGGCGCACCCAGGAGGTAGCCTTGGCGCTGCCCCGGCCCCACGACACCTTCGATGGGCGCCTGCGGGGCCTTAGCCCTGCGACCTCCAAGCTGGCGGTTGCCTGGGACGTCACCCACGTCCTGGAGGAGGCAGGGCCGGGCGGCAAAAAGAAGGTGGGACCAAGACAGGGAAGCTCCTTGCGTTGTTTTCTTCATTTTTTTTTGGGGGGGGGTTGTTTGATTTACCACTTCCCTTTTTGAGGCAGTTTGATCCCAACAGATCCCAGTCTTCTAGCCTCTTGATTCCTCTTGTTCGGATGTTCGACGCGCCTTACCATTGGGACAGTTGAGTTGGTGCGCGTATGGCCTGCATGAGCGCCAGGAAAGAAGTGCAGAAGTTGTTGACTGTGTCCCTACCATGGCCCAGAAATACTGGACTCTTTCCGTACCTCTTTCAAGTCCGTTTTTCTCCGCTTACTTTTCGCCTTTCGAATCTACGCTTCGTGTCTCCTTTGCCCGAGCTAGAATGGGTCTGCGCTGCAGTAGTGGTTGGTTGGGCACTTGCGTACTGACTGCGATTTGGTTGCCGTGTACCTTATTGAATTTCTCAACTTTATGGAGTGTGTTTGAACCTTGAGCTACGCTGGCCCAGGCCGTCATTCACGTCACATGGGGCCAAGAAGAGCTGGCGATCACCGTAAGGAGCACTGGTGCGGAGCGCAACGTGCTGGATGCCAGGGAGGCGTTGGTCCGGGAGCTGGAGGCAGGATTTGCCACGTGCTGCGGCAAAAGCTAGTGTGAAGAACAGTCGTGTCCGAAGGGGTCCAGATGTGGCCCATCCCCCCCAAACCTGGAGGAGCACCATGCTCCCGCCTTGCAGCTCTTCCGCGTGAGGCGTAGGCGGTGGGAGCTTGTGGAGCACGTGGCGCTCTGGCCATTTCGGCAGGCTTGGAGTGCCGGGTGCCTTTGCCACGCCAACCTCGTGCAGCCGGCATTGGCGAGACTGAGCCAGATTCTTCAGTCCTTGGGCGAAGCGATGGGCCGCCGCCTGCGCCAACTGGGGAACTGGATCTATGTCAGCCTCCTGGAGCCCCTCGGGCATTCCGTGGCAGCAGTTAGGGACGCCGCTGCGAATTGCCTCGAAAGCTTTCTGGAGCACTTGCGCCAACTCGGGCACTGGATCTCTGTCAGCCTCCTGGAGCCCCTCGGGCATGCCATGGCAGCAGTTAGGGACGCCGCTGCGAATTGCCTCGAAAACCTTCTGGAGCACCTGCGCCAACTCGGGCACTGGATCTATGTCAGCCTCCTGGAGCCCCTCGGGCATGCCATGGCAGCAGTTAGGGACGCCGCCGCGAATTGCTTCGAAAACCTTCTGGAGCGCCTGCGCCAACTCGGGCACTGGATCTATGTCAGCCTCCTGGAGCCCCTCGGGCATGCCATGGCAGCAGTTAGGGACGCCGCTGCGAATTGCCTCGAAAGCTTTCTGGAGCGCCTGCACCAACTCGGGCATTGGATCTATGTCAGCCTCCTGGAGCCCCTCGGGCATGCCATGGCAGCAGTTAGGGACGCCGCCGCGAATTGCTTCGAAAACCTTCTGGAGCGCCTGCGCCAACTCGGGCACTGGATCTATGTCAGCCTCCTGGAGCCCCTCGGACATGCCATAACATCCATTCGAGGCAGCGCCTGGAATTGCTTGAGCAGCCTTTGGGAGGCGTCTACGCCTGCCAGACACCAGGTGTACGACATGTGCGACCGAAGCTTCCACAGCCTTTGCCAATGCTTGGCGCCTTTGCGCCGCACCAGCGACTGGCTGCTGGCATGGTTATCACAGGAGTGGCCAGTGGCCAGGCGCCTTGCGCGGCCCTTTGCGGATTGCTTTTTCTCAGCCACAGAGTGGATGTCATCTTGCTGCACGGCGGTAAGCAGCTGGCTTTGCCCTCGTAAGCAGCCAGTGCGCATGGCACGTGTGCGTCGCCATGATGAGCACAATGCGCTGATTTGAGGCCATGATTCAAAGCAGAATGATCTTGTGGGAATGACGGGCTGCACTGGCATAAGATATCCGAGCGAACACTTGATTGTACAGTGTACAGCGCCACGTTCGGTTTAGAGCAACAGCACTTCTGAATGATTAGTTGCTTGCCAACCAATGGCAGCGAGAGAACTGCCAGTTGCTCGCAAAAGGCAGAGGGCTGCAGCGCAAAGTAAGGAAGGACCTAAGGATAGGCTAATGCAGCTTCAATATCACGTCGCAATTGTCGGCATCGCATTTGCGGGGCCTCAGAGTGGTTGTCCAACATTCCGGGATTGACCGGGTTTTCCCGTGATTGGAGAGGCACTCAGGGTTTAGGCTCGACTGACCATGAACCTTGTGATTCCGTGCCAGGCAATCATCTTGGACGAGGCCCACTACATTAAGGATCCCAAGTCCAAGCGCACAGGCGGGGATCCCGTGGATCGGCGATCGGCTCCGGGGCGCCAGATGGCTTCGTAGCGCTTTGTGCAGGGGTTGTGGTTGCCGCATTGCCCCTGATCAAGTATGAGCATTGTCATTTGGCTGTGGCTCAGAAAGCCGGTACCAAAATGGGTTGCCCTGGTAAGTGGAAATATGGACCAACATTTGCGTAACCCTTCCTGTTGAATTTTGAGCCACACCCATTTTGTCACATGTAGAAAGAGTGACAAGCAGCCTTGCCTCCCCTGGAGCGCTTTTGCTCCCCTTTGCTTTTGAGAGTTCACTACAAAAATCAGCAACAGCTATGATATTTGACTGTATTCTAGCGACAGCAGCCTGTCATGTGCATAACCTATGCAAACCGTGCAACGCCCATCATAGCTTCCAAAATATCAGCGGTCATATGTGGTGTAGAAAAAGCACAAACAACCTCGAGGAAACCACAACGTTCAAAAACACAACAAGCAGCCCTAAAATGCCCAAGAAACAAAGGAATTGCAGAACCAAAAAGAAGCTTGAGGGCCCCCTGACAAGCTCAAAAATACGAAAACCCAAAATGTCATCAACCATGCCGATGTAAAAGAAAACCAAAAATCACAAGAAAGCCTTGAGCAAACTAAGCAAAGCAACACCATTTCATGGTGAACTTGGAGGATTCAGGAAGCGATGGGGAAGAGACCTAAGGTCAAAAAGCTTTTCTCTCTTAGCATTGTCACGCCCTCTATCCACTGGTTGCATATATGGCGTGTGCATCCGAACTGAGAACCTGTTTCGTTGTTCTGTCATTGAGGCCTATCAAATTGTTCCTGCCTTGGGTTGCCCATTGTGGTAAAGTGGATGGGCTTAAAGAGAGTGAACTCCGATACCAGTAGAGCCGGCGAAGCCGGTGGACGGAAGTTTCTAAAGCGAGAAGAGTGCCTATAGGAAGCTTGGCTTGTTTTTGTTTGGTTGCGCTCTTTCTTTGTCTCTTTCTTTTTCTTTCTTTCTTTCCTTTTCTTTCTCCTCTTCCCGAAGAGTGTATCTTTGGCCTCCACACGCTTCGCACAGAAGACAATCCCAAACTAACAGAAGGAGCCAAAGCCGGGGGAGTTTAAAGCAGGGACCGCCCTACCGTAAGAGTGTATCTTTGGCCTCAACACACTGTGTGCAAAAGATCAGTGCCCTACCTTTCCCCCATTCGAGTGGCTCCGGCTAGACAAGGCGCGCTCTTTTTGCTATGTCGCTCAAGACCTGTTGGCACACTGGCAGACGCTGGCTGCACTTGCGGTGGCAGTCAACGAACACTCACAGTGGCAGGTAAGGCACGCCCGGTGACCTGAATTGGCGCACCGGACATGGGCATCAAGGACACGAGTTGCCATGGGCCACGACGGCGCAGCACTTTGTCAAGACTTATCGCTCGCCGACACGCCTAGAAATTTTGTATCTTTCTTCAGGTCTGAAGTCAGGCTTTAAGATAACGAACGCTCACAGTGGCAGTGAAAGCACGCCCGGTGACCTGAGTTGGCGTACCGGACGCACCAAGGAGGCCCCATGCCAGCAGCTGCTACGTTGCTTGGGGACGCAAGCTCGTCTCTCAACCGCTTCGTACGAGAACGCAGCGTCATTTGCAGAAACTCCGGCAAGGACCCGTGGGTCAAGGAGCGAGCAGCTCCTGTCTGCCAGCCCTAGCGCTGGCGGTAAAATTGCAACTCCTGCGGAGGCACAATCTTCCTGCTGGCGGTAACATTTCATTTCGTTATCTGCAACTGACCTTGCGAAAGTGCCGCGCCTGCCACGCAATCTGTACCTGATCTTGCGAAAATGCTGCGCCTGCCACAAAATCTGCGCTCGACCTTGCGAAAGTGCTGCGCCTGCCATGCGATTTACACCTTCGTCTCTGTCTTTCTCTGTCTCTCTCTCACTCTCTCTTCCCAGTTGATCTATCTACCCATCTATCTATCTATCACCTGACCTTGCGAAAGTGCCGCGCCTGCCACGAAATCTGCACTACTTGCGAACGTGCTGCGCCTGCCACGAAACCTGTACTCGACCTTGCACGGGCGCCAAAAACTGCGCCTGCCACGAAATCTGCACCTTAGGTTGCCAAAGCGCTGCGCCTGCCACGCAAATCAACCTCCGAAAGCCTTTGCGCGAGCATTGCAGTGGGCAACATTCTGACCCCGTGGCGATCCCACAGGGGTACCCTTTGCGTGTTGCGCATGTCTAACCCTACTTGCGCATGTCTAACTCTACTTTTCGTATTACGGAAGTTTTCTAACTAAACTTCCTTTGATTAATATGAAGCTTGTCAACCCCCCCCGCCTGCTTTTGCAGGCTTCCGGGCATAGACCCTCTTTGGCCTTTTTGCTGCCAGTCGAACCACCATGCTCAAATTGCTAGTTCCAGAAACCAAAAAGCGCACTGACATGCCCTGACAGGGAGCGGATGCCTGGCAAATATCACCCCAAAACAGGGTTTCACCTCCTCACCCAGTCTCGTGAAGGATCAGAAGCAGGTTCCCATCAGTCACACCTAGCGGCTTGAGTAACAAGTTAGTTGAGCTCCTCTCCCAGTGCCTGAAGCTCAGAAAGGTTCTCGCAATTTGGTTTGGAGGAATTTCGCTTTGAGTCACCATTCAAAGGGTTGCTGTGAGGTTACGGACCCACTCTGATTTTCTTCTCGTGGTTGATCTAAAGGTCAATTTTTACAATAATACAAGCAAAGTTGATGGTTTGGACCATTTGGAGGTTTTACAAGCACCCCCGCCGCCCCCCAACCCCCTGAAATGGGGGAAGGTGGGGGCTGGTGGGTTGTGACTTTTGGCCAAAGCCGCGCCAGGTGCGGCGCTGCCGCTGTGCCGCCGGGCCCGGCGCTGTGTGCTGATCAGCGGAACCCCGGCGGTGAACCGCGCGGCGGAGCTCTACACGCAGCTTCAGGCGAGGCCGAGACTACGAGTTGGACTCCAAAATGGCTAACCCTCACCCTAACCCTCACCCTAACCCTAACCCTAACCCTAACCCTAACTAAACAAGAAGTTTAAAACTTCTTGAGTTGCTGGTCTTTAGAAGCTTTTTGGGGTTGGACCTTCTTAGTGGTAAATAAGAAAGAAGTTTGGACTTGCTTTGGCCAACCCACTCAGAACGTGAGGAATGCGAAGCGCGAATGAATATAGGGGTGATTTCTGTTTGAGTGGGAAGCCGGGCTAATTTTGTGGGTGACACCACGCTAGTAGGATGGGTTTGTGAACTGATTCCCATTTTCCGGCGGAAGCCTCGCGAAATGCCCCTCCTAGTGTGGAACCGGGCGTTTGGCCCTATACTTTCCTTCTGAGGATGGGTGTTGGCTGCCGCCTTCCTTTCGTTGACAGATGCGCACAAGTGAAGTGTCCCCCAGACCAGCAGATGACACAGACTGGCAGACGACATGTCTCTGAATGTGGCAGCGGGCATGCTTGGCGATTGGTTTGCGGGGTGGTGGCATTTTCTATGGGCCACGTGGGTTTGAGGCTTTCCCGCAAAGAGTGGCAGCGTGCGCTTGGTTCCTTTCTTTAGCGCTTTAGAGGTTGCGCTTCAGAGGTCAAAGGCTTGCCCGTGTTTGTGCGTGCATGTGTGCAAGCGCATGTGCGTGCATGCGGGCGTGCGTGCGTGTGTGCGTGCGTGCGTGCGTGCGTGCGTGCGTGCGTGCGTGCGTGCGTGCGTGCGTGCGTGCGTGCGTGCGTGCGTGCGTGCGTGCGTGCGTGCGTGCGTGCGTGCGTGCGTGCGTGCGTGCGTGCGTGCGTGCGTGCGTGCGTGCGTGCGTGCGTGCGTGCGTGCGTGCGTGCGTGCGTGCGTGCGTGCGTGCGTGCGTGCGTGCGTGCGTGCGTGCGTGCGTGCGTGCGTGCGTGCGTGCGTGCGTGCGTGCGTGCGTGCGTGCGTGCGTGCGTGCGTGCGTGCGTGCGTGCGTGCGTGCGTGCGTGCGTGCGTGCGTGCGTGCGTGCGTGCGTGCGTGCGTAGTGCGTGTGTGTGTGTGCGTGCGTGTGTGTGTGTGTGTGTGTGTTTGTGTGTTTGTGTGTTTGTGTGTTTGTGTGTTTGTGTGTTTGTGTGTTTGTGTGTTTGTGTGTTTGTGTGTTTGTGTGTTTGTGTGTTTGTGTGTTTGTGTGTTTGTGTGTTTGTGTGTTTGTGTGTTTGTGTGTTTGTGTGTTTGTGTGTTTGTGTGTTTGTGTGTTTGTGTGTTTGTGTGTTTGTGTGTTTGTGTGTTTGTGTGTTTGTGTGTTTGTGTGTTTGTTTGTTTATTGTTTGTTTGTTTGTTTGTTTGTTTGTTTGTGTGTGTGTGTGTGTGTTTTTGTGTTTGTGTTTGTGTGTGTGTGTGTGTTTTTGTGTGTGTGTGTGTGTGTGTGTGTGTTTGTTTTTGTGTGTTTGTGTTTGTTTGTTTGTTTGTGCGCGTGTGTTTTTTGTAGGTGTGTGTGGGTGTTTGTGTTTGTGTGTGTGTTTGTGTGTGTGTGTGTGTTTGTGGTTGTGTTTGTGTTTGTGTGTGTGTGTGTGTGTTTTTTTTAGGTTTGTGTGTGTGTGTGTGTTTGTGTTTGTGTGTTTGTTTTTGTGTTTGTGTTTGCGCTTGTGTTTGTGTGTGTGTGTGTTTGTGTCTGTGTGTCTGCGTGTCTGTGATTGTCTGTGTGTTTGTCTGTTTGTGTGTGTGGGCGTGCGTGGTTGTCAGGCGCGCTGCCAAAATCCTTTGGCGTGTGGCCAGTTTTTTTGAGCGTTTGCCTGGGTTATGTGCTTCTTAGTTCGCACACGGTAAATGCTAGTTTTGGATTGACGTCTTGGAAACCATTTGCGCGTCAATGCTGCAAGAGCTTTGCTGGATTCTGATGTTGGAGGCACTATTGCGTTTGGAAGGGGGCACAGGGCACCCCATTCATGATTTTTGCCAACACGTTCCTTTGCCACATTCACGCATTCAGGTATGGCTGTTGAAGACACCTTCTGGTTGCAAGCTGACACACGCTTGGACAGATTGAGATTCAGACAATTCAACGTGCCATTCTGTACCGGCTGCTCACAACATGTTTGAATTCAGTGAGCAAGCGACTCCCGCTTGGTGAGGTGCTTTTGCCTGAAGCACCAGCCATGACCCGAGCCTTGGCCGTGCTGAACTTTAGATGTCCAGGGGTCGGTGTCCAATCGCTTTCGGAGGGCAGGCCTTCCACATTGCAGCCAGGTGCCATTTCCTGTTTTGCTCATGTCCTTTGTTGTTTTGATTTGTCCACCTTGTTTTGTGTTATTGCAGCTTGTCGCAACTGCAGCTGCTGCAGCCAACGGCAGCTGCAAAAAGGACCCACAGTGCTGACTTGAACTCAGGGCGACGAATCGTGTTGGATGAACGAACACGGCACCTAGGGGGATGCACATGGCGAACCAAGCGATGCCAAGGATACTACCAAAGATACTGCGAGCAAAAGGAGCAGTACTTGCCTCGAGGCGCAGCCCAGAGGAAGACAACATGACTCCACGAGCCAGTGAAGTGGTATAATTCAGGCGCGTGCCAGCCGAAGGTGAGCAATGCGTTGAGATGCTAGCCGATTCAGCTGTGCTTGCCGCAAATATCCAGATATGTTCACGTGAGAAGCGGTACCCAGCATAATGTGTGTGGTTCAATCGAATTTGCCCAGGCATCCGCATCACCAAGTGGGTGGGTGCCAAGAGGAAAGCAGAGTTGAACACGCTTCTGACCAGCACCGCCGGGGTCCTGGGCATATTGATGCTTGCATGGCTTCGTGTGGCGTGGATTGGGCGTTGCTGCGCTAAGCATTGGATTGCATCATCAGCCAATGGGACATGGTTGCGCGGAGGTCATGGTGAGGCGCCTGAAAAGCGAAGTGCTGCACGAGCTGCCCAAGAAGCGCAGGCGCGGCGCATTGTGTTGTACTCGCGTGCCTGATGCTCAGCTTCAATCGGATGCTTGTTCAACTCGCGGCTGAGATCAGTGGATCGTGGTCCAGCACTCATACGGCAACGGGTCTTGACCTGTGCTGTGACAGGCAACGAATCACCTTGGACCCTGCGAAGCTGGATAGCACCAAGCTGAAGGACCCGTGCTGAAGAATGACACGGTGATTTGTGTGGTGGATTTGTGGGAAGTCGAACATTTGGACAATTCTTTTCTGAATTGGTGTGTACCATGCATTGCATACTTATCTATATGCATATATATACACTAATATATATATATATATACAACATAAATATGTATAGTTTTCTGCGTTTGCTCTCTTTTTTTTGCGTGCGCGTTGTCGTGTTGCTGGTTTGGCTGACGAGTCGCTGAGGAGATCGGGAAGTTCCTGAAGGTCGGGGTAGACTTCGAGGATGACGCTGGCCAGCGCCCGGAGATCACTGAGATCTTTAAGAAGACAGCGGAGGCCAAGGCAGAGGCTGTAGGTGAATATGTGGCGTGGCTTATGTTTGTGACTGGGCTAGCTGACACTGTGCTTTCCAGGAGTGCAGATGAGGTGTTGAGGTAGATGACTTTCCCACTTCAACGGCCGCAACCAATGGCTACACCCTTTCTCCAACAATCGTCTTCCAAAGACCTTCCATCAGCTTCCAAGACTCTCGGAAGCGGGAAATTGGCGGTAATGGCAGTAAGTGTTTGTTTTCAGACTGGCAACTGTGGATCAAGGAAGGGAGGGAAGGGAGACTTGACCTCCCCCGACCGTGCATCTGGGATACGAGGTGGAGTACCTGCTGAACAACGAGGTCAAGTTTCTGCTGTTTGGACACCACCACGTTTTGCTCGATTCCTTGGAGGACAGGATTGTTTTGGGCCGAGAAGGCCGCGGGAGATTCACAGCTGCTTGATCACGAAATTGCGCCCCAAGGTAGAACATTTGTGTCGCTGGGCAAGCTCAAAGCATGAAGGCTTCAAGCATTGGACAAGGTCCATTGGGTGTAGCAGAGCCCACTCAATAGATGCAGTAGAAAAGGGGCCTTCAATTTTGAGAACCGTTGATCCAAATCTGGCTTGTGCGGTACCAAGGGATTGCACCGGAGGAGAAGCTGAAGTCGCTGGCCAGCCGCTACATCCGCATCGATGGCCACACGCCACAGCACAACCGCCCGGCTCTGGTGGAAGAGTTTCAAAGCAACCCGGAGGTGCAGGTGGCTTTGTTGAGCATCACCGCCTGTGGGCAAGGACCGGCCGACTCGGGCATGTCAATTTGTTTAACCCTAGCCAGCTTCGGCAAGATAGGAAATGAAGGACATGCCGATTTCCTCGCGCAATGCGCCGGGTTATTTCAAGGTAGTTGCCTCGATCATGTAATGTTGTTATATGTTGTTCACGGCCCTTGAGACGTTGCCTCTGCGTCATGTGCAGGAACAGCCACGGGCCACGTCCCGGGCCAGAGGGCAAAGTGTGGGTGTGCCAGGACTGACCCTCACCGCGGCCCACACGGTGGTCTTTGCAGAGCTGTACTGGGTGCCGGGGCAGATGCTGCAAGCGGAAGACCGGGTGCACCGCATCGGACAAACGGAGATGGTGGATGTGCACTACTGCATTGCCCAGGGCAGCCTGGATGAACGTGTTTACGCTTCCTTGAACAAGATGCTTGGCTTCGAACTGTGGAGGACGTTGCGAAGGTACTGCTTGAATATGCTTTAATCATAGAAGCTTCCCCCCCTCCCCAAATGATACCCCCCACATGCCGAGAGCTCTTTGGGCTGCACAATTGGGGAAGTGATAATTGAGAGCTCCTTAGGCCTCAAATTGGTGTGGTGGAAAAACAGTTGTGGTGGGCGCCCATCCGTTTGTCCGTCCATCCATCCATCCATCCATCCATCCATCCATCCATCCATCCATTTGTAGTCAGTCCGTCCACCCGATGTCAATCCCAACCAACCGTGCGCTTACACTGCCCAAGCATCATACTCCGCGAGGACTGGACTGCGGCAGCGCATGTTTGCTCTGATGCGGCTCTTTTGACTTTGCACCCCGGTGATCGCCCATTCTTGTGGTGTCTAGCAGGAGTTTCGTAATTACCTTTTGACCCCCCCCCGCCCCCACCTAGCGGATGCTTATGATCACTTGTTTGCCTGCTGTGGCATGCAGTGGCCAGTTTGAATTTGTACCCCGGTGACCGCCCATTCTTGTAATTTTCAGGCTTGTTGCCTGCTCACCCCCTACAATGTGGACAGACTGGATGCTTTGCCTGCTGCGGCCACGAATTTGAACCCTGGTGGCCGGTGCAAGTGACGCAGACAGAACGGACAGCGTAGATGGCGCAGACGTTGCGCGCGGTCGCGCTTTCCGCGCACACTGTTTGCGAAGCATATTCATGGGGCAGTTGAGAACACTTGGGAGCATTTGCTCGCCTGGGGAGCATTGTAGATTTGGAGAGTCTTGGGGGAGTTTGTGGGGCGGACGATATTTTGAAAGCACATGGAATGATTGAGGGCAATTGCGAACACTTCAGACACTCTCACTTTGGTGGTTGGTATGAACACTGCAATCTTGAAGCAGGGACTAAACAATCAGGCAAGCTTGAGCAACATCTAACAGATTGAGTTGTTTTCAAGGTTTAGTTTAATAACTGTTTGAATGGTTAAAGGAACTTCTTAAAGCCCTTTTAAGCCCCTTTTAGTCTTGACCTCGTTGCATGTGAGGTGAGCCAATGCTTCTGCGATTTCAGGGTTTCCAGGCTTGCAACATGTTCTTTTATGCACGAACATTTCACGAGCGATCTTTCGAGATAAGAACTGTGGAGAAGAAACCGCCTCCCGCCCCATGGTTTTCTCGGTGGCTCAAATGTTGAACTTATGCCAACAAAGAGGGAGTTGCGCATCTACTTTCACCAACGGATAAAACGAGTCCGCCCTTTTCGCGCCAAATGCGACTCGCAAGGAAAAGCCGGGACACCAGTGGCATCCTCGATGGCAACTTGGCCTCTGTTGGCTGATCTTGGGTTAGACCTTTCCTTCTTTGCCCCTTGTGACACTGACCACTTTGCGTTTCTTTCCGGGTAGAAGGGGAAACGCCTCACCTTTGTCACCTTGTTCTGCCAGGGGCCAGCCCAGGCAAGGAGCGCCACCTGGATGCCTCACAGGCACCGGCCCCTTCCATGAAGGCGGAAGCAGTGGCCAAGGCGGAAGCAGAAGTGGCCTCGCCGAAGGCTGGGCCGCGGGGGGTCCGACCTGGGAGCGCCCTGCACCGCCAGCACACCTTGACATTGACTTGCCAAAGAAAGATGGTGCGGCCATTGGGCTCAGGTGTCTTGGTTCTTTCTCATCAGCAAAGTACAAGCGATCCTGCAACATGACCTGTGTTTTCCTCAGGTAATGTCCGTTTGTTGATGCTCCGGGTGCTTGATTTGCCGTCTCCGAAGATTGCATTGTATCAGGAGCATCTTGATACGCAAGCCTGACCCATCCTGACCAAGCAGTTGCACGTTGTCTACTGTTGCTTTCTTGGTATTCCCTCTGGATGCTTAGTGTTAAACAGCAAGTTTTTACGATGATGCTTTGAGTCGCCACGTCGGCCACTAGAGAATTCGTGATCAAGCAGCGCAGGCTCCGTGTGCCTTTCGACCTTAGGTGTTTGGACTTATGAGCCAGTAACATACTGAATGAATACGTACCCCACGTGTTGGCGGGAACATGAAGTCACCCCAACCAAGGCTAACCAAGGCGGAGTGCCTGGTCTTCAAATTTAGCGCGAGCGCTTTTGCTGAGGCCTCGCCCAAGCGGAGCCCAAAGGCGACGGCGAAGGCGGCAAAGGCGCCGCCCAAAAGGGCCAAGGCCTCGCCCAAACCCAAGGGCAGGCCGAAGCGCCGGGCGGAGGAGGCCACCGGCATCTCCAAGTTCTTCAAGAAGGCAAGGGGAAACAGGGGTTATTATGTTGACGGTTTCTGGGGGTTATCAAAGTCAGAAAATGGGGCTGTTTCCCTTTAACCCACCACTTAGGGGGTGACTTTGATCATGGTGAAATAATGGGGTCAGGGAAATGCTGCCGAAACTGATTTGCGCTCTGATGTCACATCCAGCGCGGATTTTGTCTTGCAACCTTGCGCGTTTGCTCAAGAAGATCATGATCACTGGTTCCCCAAAACTGACAAGTCCGCCGTGGCTTTCCTTCTTCCAGGCTGTTGTGCTTGTCGATTCAACGAGCTCGAGCTAGATTGTGGCCGGCGCGACCAGTCCCCCAGGAGTCAACCTGATCTATCACTTCTTGACTGGCATCAAGGAGCTCGAGTACCCGGAGAGCAGCGTGGACCTCGTCAAGCCCCATGACCTGCACAACAGAAAGCTGCACCAGTTGGCGCGGAGAGGCAAGGGCACCTCTGAAGGCTCGTGCCAAAAAGCTGCCAGAGACGGTGAGAGCCTGCGGCGTGGGATGCGGCACTTGAGGAAGTTGCTTGATATACCAGGCACCTGGCGCATGGCTCGAGGTCATACCTACATCATGGCTAGAACATTGGCACCATTCAGGGTCACAGTGTAGCCATACTTGACCAACGCAGAAAGGGACGGGCAGCTTCAGCTCAAGACAGCCTTACTTTTTCGCTATGTTTACCTCCAGGTTTGCGTGAAGATTCGAGCTGCAGTTCTGGAGATGACAGGCATCAGGCATCCCATTGAGATAGGCGTTAACAAGCTCGCTTCGGCCGCCATGAGCTGATCACGCTCCTGTGGCCCTGCCTTGTGGCGCTTGGGCCGCAAGTTTGGGAAAGCTGATTGCGATACTTTCACGTGCCAGAGCGGGAAAAGAAAATGCAACAAGTTCCTTGGCGCAGTCTACTGGCAACGGTGCTGAATAACAGTTAGCTGCGCTGATGTTTGTAAGATCGGGCTGGTAGATCTTGATGCCGGCTCTTGGATGTGGGGGGCTCGGGAAATGGCTGCGCCCCGCAGGAGGCCAGCTATTCTGAAATTGTACTTTAGGTCTTCTGGTTCTAGTTGTTGGCCTATCGTACTCAGTGCCGCCAACTGCACGCAGGATGAGCGATAGTAAGCGATAGTATTGAGGCCCCTTGTTCAGGACTGGTGAGTGCAGAGCGGCATTTGCCCGTCCTCAGTTCCAGCTCCCGCGCTGGCTTTGCGTGAAGCCTTGCGCCAGGCTTGGGGCCGGACGCGGCATGGGTCGCCGCCCCAGATGGTCGGGATCAGGAGCTGGGAGGTTCGGCGTTCTGCAGTTGAAGGGGTCTTCTCTGCGGCTGTTGGGTTGGTCTTTAGACTTTATAACTTGTTGCCTTCCGCTCATATGAGCAGCTCTAAAAAAACCATTACATCCCAAACAAGAGTTGTGTCATAACAAGGCCCCGCGTAAGCAAAACCCTGGCGTAAGCACTTTTTGGGGAAACATGTTGCGTAAGCAGTTGCGCAAGCTCTTCTTCGCGATTGCTTGGTAAGCTTTGCACGCATGCTCGGAAGAGTTGTTTCACACATGTGCTTATGTGTTTTTGGGTGGCTTGTGCTGTTGCAACCTAGTCGAGCTTGGCAACTTGCCCGGAGGCGTTGGCTGCAGGAAGACGTCTAAGACCGCATGTGCGCACCATTAGAAAACAACACCAGCAGAACTTTGTTTGGGGCTCATGCTAGGTGCTGTTGCAACTTTCACTAGGACAAACAAAGGCTTCGGTAACCGCTCATTTAGGAAAACTAAAGGGGCTCGGGCGCGCAAGCTCGCGTAAGCAGGCGCGTAAGGTTCGCGTAAGCTCGCCTAGCTCAGCTGCCCGCTAGCCCTTGTGATGCATGCCGCTACCGCATAACGTGTTTCTTGACTTACGGTAGGAACAACAACGCCAAGCCGCTGAAGCTCGTGAGGGTAGTTCTTCGTCATTTTCTTCCTCACAGTCATCCACACCATCTTGAACAGTCCTGGCGACTGCGCGCATAGAAAAGGAGCCGCGCAAGCAATCTTTGAGGGGAAACGCTCAACACGCCAACGCATAAGCGATGCGTAAGCTTAACATGCTCCCTGACTGCCGCGTGAGCTAAGGGTAGCGCAAGCTCGCGCGTCAGCAACTTGATACGACATAGGGGTTCATGGGAGGTTCATAGAGTCGCTCATATGTCCTTTTAATGTGCAAAAACTAAACTTTTTGCGGGGGGACCTTCAGCACCCAAGTGTTGGTTTGCGGCAAATGGTTACCCTTGTTGCTTTCCTGGTTGCAGATGCGCTTCACTGCATGCCGGTGTCGCGGGCCACTTGAATGAGTCCGTTGACGATGGGCTTGAAGTGGTGCGCACTCTATGCTCAGCCTCTCTGGACCTGGTACTCTGCTCAATCGTCACAAGAACGAATGTGTGGAAAGAAGCGAACGGAAGGAACGAAAAATGGGGTGGGATGGGATACAACAAGGAAAGACAAAGAAACAAGGGCACAAATCGTTGATGAATGAAGGCAAAGACGGGAAAGGGCAGGAAAGGAAAGGGCAGGAAGTAATATGCAGTGACATGAAATTAGAAAAACAGCATGCCATGAAAGGAAGGAAAGAAGGCAGGAAGGCATGCATGCATGAATGGATGGATGAATGGATGAATGGATGGATGGATGAATGGATGAATGAATGAATGGATCGGTCGGTCAATCAACCAACCAACCAACAACCAACCATTCAATGAATCAATCAATCAGTTAGTTACTCAATGAATGATTGCATGAACCAATGGGTGAATGTGTCAGTGGATGCCCAGGAAAACAAGTCAATGACTCATGAGTCAAGAGTCAAAAACGAATATGAACACATGAAACAATGAATACCATAGCGCATGAAGTTCAACGAGTTCAGCAAGCAAGCAAGGTCACAAGCAAGGAATTACCCCTTCTGCATGAACACATGCCCCTGTTACGTTTGAGCTGTAAGATCGCTTTTGACGGGACGTCAGAGCAACTCAACAGGTGAACCAGAGCAGTTCAGCGAGGCGAGTCCGGCTGAGGAACACGGCTGAATGCCATCCGCGAGGCGTGCCGGCTCGCCCCGGATCTTCGAAGTGAGGACCGATTCGGGCGGCGCCGTGTGGGTTGCCAGGCTAATGTTCCTGACTTCATTTGGGCGTGGCTCAAAATGAAAGAGCTAGGGTGAAGCAGGTTTTAGCCTTGAGTTCCATTTACCAAGGTGTCAAATTGGTACATTTTTTCGAGCCACAGCCATTTTTCCCAGCGCGCAGAGGCCAACATTCTTTTGTCGGTCTGTCGCGAGGAAAATGTCAACGACATCTTGGAGTTTGCCATGTCCTCAGTGCGGATTGGGGGTGGAAGCTGAATTGGGTCAAGTTATTTTGCTCTCTTTTCAGAATGTTTCGCCGAGTTTCACACTTTGAAATGCACCGGTTCCCAACATTTGCTTATGGTTGGGCACGGTTGGAGTCTTTGCCCTTCTTTCACCATGCTTTCTGGCTTTGTTTTTGTTCTGCCGTGCCGTGCTGCGAAGGTTTCTTTGCGGGGGCCACGTCGGAACCCTTGATTTATTTGGCAGGTGCGTGACGTGAAGTTCTTCGAGGCGCTGACCTCTTTGCAGCAGCGCACCCTGCCTTGGGCCCCGGAGTGGCGGGAAGGCTGAACTCTCGAAGGGGCAAGGCTGTGAAGCCGGTGCGAGGGCCCATGACTCATATAATTATGCTTGGTGTGCTTTGCATCTGATATAGACAGAAACCCGGCAGACACCCTGATGGCAACCAAACAGCCACAAAAAGGTGCAAGATGATGAGCCTTGAGACCTTCGAGCCGCGCGTGAACATCTTCGAAGTGGGCGACGTTGGGGATAAGCCTTGGGCCTCAGACGCCGATGATTCCTGTCTCGACGCGTGCCCGTGTTGAAACCGTGGGATCTTGAGCAAGCTTAAGTTTCCCATGGGGAAGCACCGTTTGTGACTGCCGGGTGATATATTGTCAACTCTGCATTGTGTCATTCATGTTTCAGCCAGCGGCTCTAAAGCACTTTTCATTTCCCAGTTGCTGAGACAGCCGCAAGAAGCATCATGAGACCTATTCAGAAATGGTTGAGCCGTTTGCTCCCCAGGTTCGCTCGGCGACAAAATCGGTCCCGCCTTGTTCTGCAAATGGGGTGGAGTTTTACCTAACCAACTCACAATTCAACTGCTTGACCTGCTGCGTCCAAGAACTCAAGAGTTTTGAGACCATAAAGTAGACTCTGGCCACACTGAGATACTACATCATCCTCTCTGGCAGTGTCAGTGTCCAGGCATGTGCGCGTGCTGTTGCCGAATCCGTGCGCCGCTTCCTGGATTGTAAGGCATTCACCGCTGCGTCGCAGGTAAAAATGGGTGAGTTCAGTTCTCAACTCGGAACGATGTCGAGATTTTTCAGTGACAGGAAGGTGTGGATCGCTTAAAAAGGCGTCAAACTTTAGGCTCAAAACGTCTCCATGCAGATTGCCAGCAGCTCCGCAGTACACAGAGGCCTAGCGCTGAGGCTTCAGACTTGCCAGACCTTGCGAAGGGAACCGCGCTTTCGACGCCCCACTTCTAGGGCCTTGCACGACAGACCTGGGAGTGGGAGCGGTGTTTCAAAACTCAACGCCGGATGCCCATGAACAAAACTGCCCACCAATCGATGTGCCAGATGGCAGGACTTTCGTGCTTAAGCTCTCTACCGGAGCAGTGACGCGCTCGCTGGGCCAGGTGCCGTCGTTGAACGCCCCTTGCCCAAATGGCATCCATGAAGGAAGGCCCGGCGCCCGGCAGACCGATGGTTTTGGGACGCCGGGTCTGCGATGGTTTCGGGACCTTTGGGGCGGTATGTGGGACCTTTGTGCCTTGTGGGGGTTTAAAAAGTACTTATTGTCGTTGGCCTTTACATGGTGTTTTATCTGGATTTTGCCTACCCAACGCATCATTGATGCCGCATCATGCTGTGCATGCAAGGGGGGCGCCCACTGCACTTTCCAACGTCATTGCTGCACATGCATCAGATGCATCAATCGCATGCTTCGAACACTTTGGTCATCCCTCCTTAAAGACACCTATGTTTTTCGAACTGGGAACACCATGTAAATGGCAAGATGTCCGATCTTGTTGGCGCGTGGCAAAAGTAAGACATCTCCCTGAGAAAGGCATGGGTTCCAAAGTTCGGCTTGAATCCCACTGTGACGCTTAAGGTGCACCTGCAAGAACCGGCCGCTGGAGACCACGGTGTTCTTGGCCAAGGCTTGGGTCCAAGCCAAGGAATCCCACTCTCCCCAGAGGCTACCAGAGCCCAGTTTCAGTACCGCACAAATGCCAGGCAGCTTGCATTCGGGTCTTCATGTTTCTTTCCCAAACTATGTGTCTACACTAAGAGGTTTTCACTGGAGTAAAGGGCCGGGTCCGATCAGGGTACTCGCTCTGGGCTGGGTGTTTCGTCTGCGCAGACTCGCACAACCCTGTGAGATGTTCATGCGCATCTGACTGCGCAGGAATGTGTCGCTGTGGTGCCGCGCGAAAAGGTGGATTGGTGCACCCTTTGCGGTCTTTGCGCGTGTTGGCGTGCTCTCAGTTTGGCGCTGTGCGAATTCTTAAGGTCGAAATCGGCCCTCTGCAGAGTTTGCGTGCGATGAATCGCTGTCGCAGTGGCGCGAACATCGAAAGTGAACGCTCCGCAGGCTTTGGGTGCGTTGAACCGTCTCTGGCGGTTGGATCGCTCTGGATGTAGCCCGGCGCGGTCCATCGAAAGCGACAACTTTGTGGACTTTAGGTCGTTTCACCCGCGCGGTGCGCATTCTGAACGTTAACAGTGACCCTCTGCGGACTGGGCGCGTTGAATCGCGGTCGCTGTGGCGTAGCTCGCGGTTTGAACATAGAACGTGGGCCCTTTGCAGAAAGCGCGGGGCCTGCAAAGATTATCAAGCAAGAGAGATCTGATCCCAGCAAGAGATCCTATCCACATATCCTTCCACAAAGATCTCCAAAAAAAAAAAAAAGCTCAGAGAAATCTTGCGAGGAAGCTCTTTTCCGCAGGAGATCTTCCACAGGAGCTTTTAGAAAAGAAGGCTTCTTTTTGAAGAGCTCGCGCAGTGCGAGACCTTCTATAGAGACCCTGTGTGGTCATTTCGGGACGGAAACGCTGTACACAAGCAAGTGGGAATTTGCTGCGGCTACTTTTCATGTTTGCTGCGTGGATTCCTGTCTCTCAACGTGTTTGGGGTTGCTTGCCGCGATTTTCGGGTGAATATGTGATGGTTGGTCATGCTTGTCGCAACAAGCATTTTGCGCCGGCTCGCGCATTCAGCGCGGACTGTGAAGGGGTGATGGGTTGGACAAGGGGAGGAGCCAGCCGCTGCCCAGCGCCATAAAAAAAAGTCGCCAGGGCAGCGGCTTTGGAGAACTGGCGCTGCAAGAGGACAAGCCCCGATCTGCGACCATTCAGACCAGTGCCCGGAGCCCTGAAATCCCGCCAGGTGGGAAGCTGCACGCACGGGGTGGAGTGGAGCAGTGGCACACCATTTTTTGGAATGTGTGATGGGCGGGAGATTCGACACACACTCTAGCCATATAATGCATAAATACTTGGAAGAGAGAGGCATTTTGTACCAATGAACCGTGTCGTTTATGTTGATCCGTGTCCTTCCACTTCGGTCTTTGTATGTCTTTGTGGAGGTGGGCTCCGCCCTTTCCAGCCACAAAGCCAATCAGAGTGGCAATTTCTATCTTGCAGCGCTGCAGCAAACTGGCAACCCGCTCACAGCTTCAATTGAAAGAGTTTGCTGTCTGCCTGCAGGGACTCCTTGAGCAAGTCAGGTTCTGCAGAAAACTGATCTTTGTTGAGTGGTTTCATATTCGAACAGGGAAGAGGCTAGCCGTTCTTGTCATTGTGCGCCAATGCGCTTCTGGTGATTGTCCCTTCAAGCCAACTTATATGAGCCTGAAATGAGAGGCTTCATCTACAGACGGGTAAAATTTTCGGTTGGTTTCCCTTTAAACCAACCTATAGATTGCACTGCTTGGTTCCCAGCTCGGGCCATTCGCCTGAGGAGAGGACAGAGGCACTGGTCATCACCAGGACAAACTACGAGAAATATGCCGACGCCTCAGTTTTCGCATGCCGACTTGATGTGGGACACTGGGCATGTCACCCGCGCCTAGAGGATTTTCTGGTGGACTGGCTGTGTCAATGCCTCATGGTCTCGATGTCTGGAGCTGGTCCATGTTGGCCCGCAGGCCCCCCCCCCAAGGCTTCCCTGACAGCTGGGCATCCAGCCATTGGGGCCACCTATACCTATGTAGCAGGGGTGTGCGATTTTAAATCCCGGGAAGTCAGGAGGAACGCCCATCAAATCTGCAGGTTTGCGGGCACTCTGCGAAACTTTACCGCCTGCTTGTTCGCGCGCACGGAATTGGGCCAACTCTCGTGCTCGTGCCAACCTTCTGCATTTCGCCGAAGCTTCGCAAACAGGCGTCCCCTGGGTGCTTGCTACATCTTTCCTTCCGGAAGCCGGTCTTTGGATGGAAGCCAACACCAGAACCGCAAGTGTCAAAGTCAAAGTGACAGATGTGGAACCTTGCGACTTGCGGCCTTGCACTGAGGCGGGCGAGCTCCACAAGCGCCGCGCTTAGGGCAGGCATGGGCGCACGGCTGAGAGACATGCCTTTGAGGCTTTTCATCGAGCAGAGAGTCAAATTCCTCAGGTGTGGTCCTCGGGCCGTCGAGTTGAATTGTCGAGTCCTAGGATTTGGTTGAGACCCCGTCGGCAAGGAGCTTTCAAAATGACATAAAATGACACGTCAAGATTTGGGGTTTGCAGCTGTCCTTTGTGCTTCAATTTGGAAAGCCTTCGGCACCCATGGGTGCCCATTTTGCACAGCAAGCCTTGCCCAAAAATGTAAATCTGGAGTCGAGGCAATGCCCCCTGATTGAGCAAGCTCTTCAACAAGGCGTGGCGTTTGGGGTGTGGGGGGGGGGGCAAGAGGTGTGTTGGGATGAATGCGGGTATCAACAGAATGTTAGATAAACAGATAACAGCTCTTGAATCCGACAGGTGAAATTGCCCAGAGTGTGACATCCCAAAGTGGCTGAAGCATTCACGTGACATCACGTGACACCTTCCCAGCTAGGCCACCCGCCTGACGCGAGGCTCGGTGACCCCCCCGGACCTGGCGGCCATGGCCAACTGCCTCAACGAGCGGAGCCTCAACGGGAACCAGCTGGTGGTGCGTCAGGCGGGGACTTGGATCGGCAGCCGGAAGGAAGCGCTTTTTCGCTTTTGCCCGCTTGCGTCCGCTCGGGCGCAGAGGCGAGAAAAAAGCCTCAAAAGGTGTCCGAAACTCCCGCTCCGACCGTCAATCCTTCCCGCCCGTCCAGAAACCGCCACCCGCCCCCCAAACAAAAAAACCTCGGAGGGGTTTGATGATTAGAACGATTATGAATAGGAAGAAGGGATTTCCCTGAAAAGGAAAGAAGCTGAAACATTATGCGACTTGTTGGCACAACCAAAAGCTCCTTGAGTGCGCTGCATGAAAGCTTTCATTCCTCAATTCGTAATTACATGCCCGTCACAGAGGTTTACCCGCTAGTCAGTCACTCTATTGGGCCACGAATCTTGGTCGGAGCCTCTGTTGGGCTAAAGCCTGAAGTCCGGTTGGAAGCGAGGCATTTGAGAACTGACCAGCACCATGACCGCTGGCCTTTGCTTTAAAGGTTGAGCCAGTTGTGTACTACACCTGTGCAGCATGGGCGAACATGCAGGACGTCCTTAAATTCATTCTTTGGGCGCAGACAGGTCTCAGTGCACTCGCTTAGGCCCTCGTCACATGGGACATGTCCTTGCCCTGGGTGAGTGAGAAGCCGGCAGGCACCACCCAAGCCTGGCTACTTTCGATAAGCTAGTTCGAGCCATTGCCCCTAAATCAGTCTCCCCCCAAAGTTCGATCGCCGGGTTCGAGCCCTTTCGCTTTCGACCTCCCCGACACGTCCGGCGTCAGGGCGAGCCGGTGGAGAGCATGATCTTCGTGCGCTCCGGCTCCTTGGCCATGCCGGACACCCAGCGATCCGGGGGGTTCAGAAGGCCTCGGCGCGGGTAGGGAGGTTCAGCCAGACTTGGCACGGGGAAATCTGCGGCTTACCCGAGTTTGGCCGGGCCCATTTGCTGGACTGCAGGCTGAAGCTGGTGGACGTGGACGGGAAGGAGCCAGGGGCTCGGATGAAAGCCGGCCGAGACGGGCTTCCCATCGATTCGACGTGATTATTTTTATATGAGCTCTGCCATGAGCCTAGATGCCGGGGAAACCATGTGATATTCTCTACATTTTGGAGCGTTTGGGGGGCTCAAGATGGCTCAAGCCTTGGGCGAGGCATGGCTGTCGCACTCGCCAGTCGCCACGACTCCAACATATCCCAAATGCTTCGGGCGACGCGGGGCGTAGATGTTTTGGGTCTTCCGACCGCGTGCATGATGTGGGCATGGGGTTGTGAAGCATGTGGAACTGCTTCGCGTGTGTGGAGAAAGTCTGGTGGAGCAGCTCCAGGCAGCCCAATTGCAGGAAAATATTGGTCTGAACAGTGTGGTGGACAAGAGCTCGCGGGCCCCTTGTCCCGGAGCGGAAGATAGCTAAGAGCCTTCGCTGCAGAGCAGGCGTGGGTTGTCGAGCGGGCCCGTCTCCCATCCATGCATCATGGTCAGAGTCAAATCGGAAAATTCCCCCCGCTGCCACCCCCCCCCCCGCTGACCCTAGGTCGCGAAGGCCAAGGGTGCAAGCCTCAGGGCATGTTGAGGCATAGGCACAGACCAACTGAACCATAGGCTCGGATGCTGGTTGCAGGCACCTGATTCGCGGATGAGGCCGAAGCTGTGGGACGGCCGAGCGTTCCGGGAGGGTTTGATGGCTCTCCAAGTAAAGAGTGGAACGCTGAAGCTTCTTCAAGAAAATTTTGAGTTGCATGTTACAGGTGCCAAGTTTGATCATACTTGATCAGCTCTGCAGTGTTGCTTCAATATTACTTGGGGTCAGGCTAGAATTTGAAACCTGTACAACATGATGCAAATGTTACAGTAATGCCGCCACAAAGGGCACTGCAATGCATTGCAAAGCTGAAGCCACTCCAAGAACCATTTGCCCTCGCCAGGGGCAAAGTGACAAAGACCAAGGCTGGCCAGGAGTGCAGCGCAATGTGCACACAGTTGGCTTCCTGGGCGTCCTGGGCACCTGGTGTTGGGAAAGCAGATGGAACATCCAGTCACTTTTCAGAGAATCGGGGGCTTGCACAACGCTTCGGTGTGGATTCCATGGCATGCTTGGCATGCTTGTTTCTTGGCCCAGAGTCACCAGCATAGCTTGCCAGAATAAGCCCGAGGGCCGTGGACCATGACTCGGGAGGCATAAGAATCAAGTTCAAGGGCGTCCGAACTCAAGGAAAGCTAAGCCGCAGTGCAGCTGACTGGGTGCACTGCAATGTTTGCTGCCTCGGAAGGAGCCAGACGCCCCGGCCACAAGCTTAGTGGACTTTTCTCCAGCCAGCCCGGCCGGAATTGCAGGAACCCTGTTGCATGAGAACATTTGTTTCGCGAGACGAAGCAAATGCTTCAGGAAACGGGGGGGGGGACGTTGCCAGTTGTAAATAGATGCGTTAAGATTTCGATCACCCGCACAGGGAAGCTGACATATTTGTGATTGCGTGAGCGTCAATCAACAGCTTTCGCACATGTCCCTTTTTACCCCTTTGTGTCACAAAGCTTAATGCATTTTGTTCAACAACTCCCGTGAACTTTGGGAGCCAGACTTCGCCCCTTGTCCTTTCTTTTGGCTCCAGCGGCTCCGTTCGATCTGTAAGTGTCCCTTGCCTGCCTGCCGCCCACCTGGCCCGCGTGTTCGCGATGCCAGACATTTCCAAGTCGGATATCTCCGCTAACCTGGACCGGGACATTTTTGTTCTCGCTGTGAGGGCTGATCTACTGCTTCTGCGAGGGCGTGGGCATCGGAGCGGTGGGGAACCTCTTCTTTGGTGGCGAGGCAGTGAACAATTGTCTGTGCTCCAAGTGTGAGATGACTGATGTGGGGGACCCCTTTTGCTCCTCCGTGTCGTGTGCCTGTGCAACCGATCAGTGCGCGCTCCCCCCGGCGAAAGGTTCCCCGATCTGCGTGTGCTTCAACAAGAAGCTGGCAGGGGACGACGCCACAGGCTTCGGTGACACCTTCTGGATCTACTACATCTTCTGCCTGGGCTGCGGTGTGACCGCGCCTTCGGCCAATGGCCGTCCTTTGTTTGCCGTGCAGTTCTAAGAGTTGTGCATCAAGGGAGGCACGAAGTTGGCGACGCCCATGGGGGGGGGGCAAGATCTGCTCAGCAGTGAGTACGCGCCTGTGTCTTTGGGACCAGTGTGCGATGCCGCCGGCTGAAGGAGCACCAATGTTTGTATGCTGCAACTTCCTGAACCCCAAGACAGGCGCGAAGCCCTTGGCCTACGGAGCATAAGTGATTCATTAGACGGAGTGATGTACCGCTACCAGCGAACCGGCTGGAGCCGAGTGTCTAAGCAGCTGACAACAGCTGCTCGGCCGGCTTCGGCCCGGCACTGTTGCCGGGGTGTCCGTGACTCTGACCTGAGCTGCGCAATCATTTTGCTTCCATCAAAAAGGCGCAACAAGTGCTTGGCTTTGGTAGAGACCTGTGAACATGTTCCTGTTGCTTTGTCGGAGGAAGTGTTGCATAATTTTCCCCAAGATCAATCTGGAGAAAGTTAGGGATGCATGGGTCCCTTCTGCTTCACTGGCCATACTGGCCAAATGTGCTGCGGGAGAAGGGGGGGGCAGGTCACAGTGGCTTGCACACAACTGCTGTGAGGCAAGGCAGCTCAGCTTCACTCCTTGTCTTTGTTTGGCTCCAGCGGCTCCGTTCGATCTGTAAGTGTCCCTTGCCTGCCTGCCGACCGCCCGGCCCGCGTGTTCGCGATGCCGGACATTTCCAAGTCGGATATCTCCGCCAACCTGGACCGGGACAAAATGTTCTCGGAGCTGTGGTGGCTGAACTACTGCTTCTGCGAGGGCGTGGGCATCGGAGCGGTGGGGAACCCCTTCTTTGGTGGCGAGGCAGTGAATATTTGCCTGCACTCCAAGTGTGAGATGACTGATGTGGGGGACCCTTTCTGCTCCTCCATGCGCGTGTGCCTGTGCATCACCGACCAGTGCGCGCTCCCCCCGGCGAAAGGTTCTCCGATTTGCGTGTGCTTCAACAAGAAGCTGGCAGGGGACGACGGCTGGAGCGGGCAGCAGCTCTTCGATTGGTCCACAGGCTTCGGTGACACCTTCTGGATCTACTACATCTTCTGCCTGGGCTGCGGTGTGACCGCGCCTTCGGCCAATGGCCGTCCTTTGTTTGCCGTGCAGTTCAAAGAGTTGTGCATCAAGGGAGGCACGAAGTTGGCGACGCCCATGGAGGGGGGCAAGATCTGCTCAGCAGTGAGTACGCGCCTGTGCCTTTGGGACCAGTGTGCGATGCCGCCGGCTGAAGGAGCACCAATGTTTGTATGCTGCAACTTCCTGAACCCCAAGACAGGCGCAAAGCCCTTGGCCTACGGAGCATAAGTGATTCATTAGACGGAGTGATGTACCGCTACCAGCGAACCGGCTGGAGCCGAGTGTCTATCAGCAGCTGACAACAGCTGCTCGGCCGGCTTCGGCCCGGCACTGTTGCCGGGGTGTCCGGTTCATTCCTTTCAACTTGACTCTGACCTCAGCTGCCCAATCATTTTGCTTCCATCAAAAAGGCGCAACAAGTTCTTGGCTTTGGTAGAGACCCGTGAACATGTCCCTGCGCAACAGCCCATTGCTTTGTCGGAGGAAGTGTTGCATAATTTTCCCCAAGATCAATCTGGAGAAAGTTAGGGATGCATGGGTCCCTTCTGCTTCACTGGCCATACTGGCCAAATGTGCTGCGGGAGAAGGGGGGGGCAGGTCACAGTGGCTTGCACACAACTGCTGTGAGGCAAGGCAGCCCAGCTTCCCTCCTTGTCCTTTCTGTTGGCTCCAGCGGCTCCGTTCGATCTGTAAGTGTCCCTTGCCTGCCTGCCGACCGCCCGGCCCGCGTATCGCGATGCCAGACATTTCCAAGTCGGATATCTCTGCCAACCTGGACCGGGACAACATGTTCTCGGAGCTGTGGTGGCTGAACTACTGCTTCTGCGAGGGCGTGGGCATCGGAGCGGTGGGGAACCCCTTCTTTGGTGGCGAGGCAGTGAACATTTGCCTGCACTCCAAGTGTGAGATGACTGATGTGGGGGACCCTTTCTGCTCCTCCATGCGCGTGTGCCTGTGCATCACCGACCAGTGCGCGCTCCCCCCGGCGAAAGGTTCCCCGATCTGCGTGTGCTTCAACAAGAAGCTGGCAGGGGACGACGGCTGGAGCGGGCAGCAGCTCTTCGATTGGTCCACAGGCTTCGGTGACACCTTCTGGATCTACTACATCTTCTGCCTGGGCTGTGGTGTGACCGCGCCTTCGGCCAATGGCCGTCCTTTGTTTGCCGTGCAGTTCAAAGAGTTGTGCATCAAGGGAGGCACGAAGTTGGCGACGCCCATGGAGGGGGGCAAGATCTGCTCAGCAGTGAGTACGCGCCTGTGCCTTTGGGACCAGTGTGCGATGCCGCCGGCTGAAGGAGCACCAATGTTTGTATGCTGCAACTTCCTGAACCCCAAGACAGGCGCAAAGCCCTTGGCCTACGGAGCATAAGTGATTCATTAGACGGAGTGATGTACCGCTACCAGCGAACCGGCTGGAGCCGATTGTCTATCAGCAGCTGACAACAGCTGATCGGCCGGCTTCGGCCCGGCACTGTTGCCGGGGTGTCCGGTTCATTCCTTTCAACTTGACTCTGACCTCAGCTGCCCAATCATTTTGCTTCCATCAAAAAGGCGCAACAAGTTCTTGGCTTTGGTAGAGACCCGTGAACATGTCCCTGCGCAACAGCCCATTGCTTTGTCGGAGGAAGTGTTGCATAATTTTCCCCAAGATCAATCTGGAGAAAGTTAGGGATGCATGGGTCCCTTCTGCTTCACTGGCCGATTCGGGCTGCGGGGGAAGGGGGGGGGGCAATTTATGGTGGCTTGCAAACAACTGCTGTGACACAAGGCAGCCCAGCTTCACTCCCTGTCCTTTCTATTGGCTCCAGCGGCTCCGTTCGATTTGTAAGTGTCCCTTGCCTGCCTGCCGACCGCCCGGCCCGCGTATCGCGATGCCGGACATTTCCAAGTCAGATATATCTGCTAACCTGGACCGGGACAAAATGTTCTCGGAGCTGTGGTGGCTGAACTACTGCTTCTGCGAGGGCGTGGGCATCGGAGCGGTGGGGAACCCCTTCTTTGGTGGCGAGGCAGTGAACATTTGCCTGCACTCCAAGTGTGAGATGACTGATGTGGGGGACCCCTTTTGCTCCTCCATGCGCGTGTGCCTGTGCATCACCGACCAGTGCGCGCTCCCCCCGGCGAAAGGTTCCCCGATCTGCGTGTGCTTCAACAAGAAGCTGGCAGGGGACGACGGCTGGAGCGGGCAGCAGCTCTTCGATTGGTCCACAGGCTTCGGTGACACCTTCTGGATCTACTACATCTTCTGCCTGGGCTGTGGTGTGACCGCGCCTTCGGCCAATGGCCGTCCTTTGTTTGCCGTGCAGTTCAAAGAGTTGTGCATCAAGGGAGGCACGAAGTTGGCGACGCCCATGGAGGGGGGCAAGATCTGCTCAGCAGTGAGTACGCGCCTGTGCCTTTGGGACCAGTGTGCGATGCCGCCGGCTGAAGGAGCACCAATGTTTGTATGCTGCAACTTCCTGAACCCCAAGACAGGCGCAAAGCCCTTGGCCTACGGAGCATAAGTGATTCATTAGACGGAGTGATGTACCGCTACCAGCGAACCGGCTGGAGCCGAGTGTCTATCAGCAGCTGACAACAGCTGCTCGGCCGGCTTCGGCCCGGCACTGTTGCCGGGGTGTCCGGTTCATTCCTTTCAACTTGACTCTGACCTCAGCTGCCCAATCATTTTGCTTCCATCAAAAAGGCGCAACAAGTTCTTGGCTTTGGTAGAGACCTGTGAACATGTCCCTGTTGCTTTGTCGGAGGAAGTGTTGCATAATGTTCCCCAAGATCAATCTGGAAAATGTTAGGGATGCATGGGTCCCTGCTGCTTCACTGGAAAAAGTTAGGGATGCATGGGTCCCTGCTGCTTCACTGGCCGATTCGGGCTGCGGGGGAAGGCGGGGGGGGCAAGTCACAGTGGCTTGCAAACAACTGCTGGCAAGGCAGCCCAGCTTTACTCCTTGTTCTTTCTTTTGCCTGCAGCGGCTCCGTTCGATCTATAAGTGCCCCTTGCCTGCCTGCCGACCGCTCGGCCCGCGAATGGAATGCCAGACGTTTCCAAGTCGGATATCTCCGCCAACCTGGACCGGGACAAAATGTTCTCAGAGCTGTGGTGGCTGAACATGGCTGAACTACTGCTTCTGCGAGGGCGCGGGCCTCGGAGCGGTGGGGAACTCCTTCTTTGGTGGCGAGGCAGTGAACATTTGCCTGCACTCCAAGTGTGAGATGACTGATGTGGGGGACCCCTTTTGCTCCTCCATGCGCGTGTTCCTGTGCATCACCGATCAGTGCGCGCTCCCCCCGGCGAAAGGTTCCCCAATCTGCGTGTGCTTCAACAAGAAGCTGGCAGGGGACGACGGCTGGAGCGGGCAGCAGCTCTTCGAGGTCCACAGGCTTCGGTGACACCTTCTGGATCTACTACATCTTCTGCCTGGGCTGCGGTGTGACCGCGCCTTCGGCCAATGGCCGTCCTTTGTTTGCCGTGCAGTTCAAAGAGTTGTGCATCAAGGGAGGCACCAAGTTGGCGACGCCCATGGAGGGGGGCAAGATCTGCTCAGCAGTGAGTACGCGCCTGTGCCTTTGGGACCAGTGTGCGATGCCGCCGGCTGAAGGAGCACCAATGTTTGTATGCTGCAACTTCCTGAACCCCAAGACAGGCGCAAAGCCCTTAGCCTACGGAGGATAAGTGACATTAGACGGAGTGATGTACCGCTACCAGCGAACCGGCTGGAGCCGATTGTCTATCAGCAGCTGACAACAGCTGCTCGGCCGGCTTCGGCCCGGCACTGTTGCCGGGGTGTCCGGTTCATTCCTTTCAACTTGACTCTGACCTGAGCTGCGCCATCATGTTGCTTCCATCAAAAAGGCGCAACAAGTTCTTGGCTTTGGTAGAGACCTGTGAACATGTTCCTGTTACTTTGTTGGAGGAAGTGTTGCATACTTTTCTCCAAATCAATCTGGAAAAAGTTAGGGATGCATGGGTCCCTTCTGCTTCACTGGCCGATTCGGGCTGCGGGGGAAGGCGGGGGGGCAAGTCACAGTGGCTTTACTCCTTGTTCTTTCTTTTGCCTGCAGCGGCTCCGTTCGATCTATAAGTGCCCCTTGCCTGCCTGCCGACCGCCCGGCCCGCGAATGGAATGCCGGACGTTTCCAAGTCGGATATCTCCGCCAACCTGGACCGGGACAAAATGTTCTCAGAGCTGTGGTGGCTGAACTACTGCTTCTGCGAGGGCGTGGGCATCGGAGCGGTGGGGAACCCCTTCTTTGGTGGCGAGGCAGTGAACATTTGCCTGCACTCCAAGTGTGAGATGACTGATGTGGGGGACCCCTTCTGCTCCTCCATGCGCGTGTGCCTGTGCATCACCGATCAGTGCGCGCTCCCCCCGGCGAAAGGTTCCCCGATCTGCGTGTGCTTCAACAAGAAGCTGGCAGGGGACGACGGCTGGAGCGGGCAGCAGCTCTTCGATTGGTCCACAGGCTTCGGTGACACCTTCTGGATCTACTACATCTTCTGCCTGGGCTGCGGTGTGACCGCGCCTTCGGCCAATGGCCGTCCTTTGTTTGCCGTGCAGTTCAAAGAGTTGTGCATCAAGGGAGGCACGAAGTTGGCGACGCCCATGGAGGGGGGCAAGATCTGCTCAGCAGTGAGTACGCGCCTGTGCCTTTGGGACCAGTGTGCGATGCCGCCGGCTGAAGGAGCACCGATGTTCGTATGCTGCAACTTCCTGAACCCCAAGACAGGCGCAAAGCCCTTGGCCTACGGAGGACCAGTGTCACGTGAGACGGAGTGATGTGCCGCGGTTGGACCCTAGGAGGTTATGTACCTCTTAGGGGTATGTCACGCCACAACTGCTATTTGTGGTATGTAGACCTCCTTAGAACCTATCGCCGAACATCCCGGACACGGCAACAGTGCCGGGCCGAAGCCCGCCCTTGTATCTTGATGGCACATGCTACGGGTCAGAAGGCGATCCTTCCATTTGACGAGCGGCGCAACTAGGGTGTTTGAGCAACAGCTCGACATCGGCTGAGTCGGATGCAGTTTCGTTCAGCTCAGGTCGCAGACGGACAGGGAGCAACAAACTTGGCGAAGGCGAACAGATCTCCTCGGGGCCAGCCGCACGGCTGGCAACTGATCTAGAATGGATTGTGACCAGGTGTTCCACAAAAAGATAGTCATGTCTCATAACGCATGTCATGTAGGGGTTGGTTGTTGTCCTTACGGCGCTAACTACCAGCCACATGCTGAAAGCGGCGTGGTGGCAGGCGATCCTCGAGATGAAGAGGGTGGACCGGGACAAGGCCCTGGCGGCCTCCTTTTTGAGGAACTCCAGGCGATGGCTGGGCTTGGGATTTCCTTTGGGCTTAGGCCATAGTTTGCCGTGGCAAGTGGCTGAACGTGTGGAACCCCTGAGCGGCCACAAAGTCAAAGAGTAGCTCCAGGAGGCAAGTTCCAAGAACTGATTTGGGCTAGGCAGGCGCCCGGATGCAACGGATTCCAGGACGACCAGAAGGGAAAGCATGGAGGATGCTGCCCAGTTTGCACAACAAGTTTTCGGCAGGCCGGCGGCCGGGTGATTCGCTTGATTTGCTCACCCCCGGTGCCATCCTGTTGTCCCGCTGCATGCATGGCGTGCTTGGCAAGGAGAGCGTCGTTTGAGCAGGAGGAGAGGCGCGGTTTCCAAGTTCGGGCAGGGGCTCGCCTCAAAATAATGTGGGGTTCAGGCATTCATCACACTCGGTGTAGGCTACTGAAGGTAGGAAAAATGGCTCAAACACCACGCCTTCTGTCCCCAAACAAGGAGGGCACGCGACCAGTTTGAGACTTCATCAAGCTGGGATGGCGTCAAGGATTGGCAATCTGAACGCCGCGCAGTGTTGCCAAGCGCATTTGAGGCCCAAGATGGAGCCCCAGATCTCCAACAGGCAAGTCGGTGGGGAGTTCAGTGCTTGTCGTTTTTGCTTTGACCAAAATGAGGCCCTCCCAAGAAAGGCTAAGTTCACTTTGCAGATGCCTTGCACATCGAGCTCACATCCGTTTGTCGTCGTAAAGGTTTTTTGGTTTCCAAAGCATGTCCAGCACTGCTGGGCTGGCAGTTCTTGGTGTTTAATTGCTGGTTCGTTGTCAGAAGATGCTTCAACTTCAGTCGCTGAATGCAGCTTGGACTTGATGATGCCAGCAATCATCGCGAGCACCCGGATGCACAGAACAAGAGAGTTTGTCGGACATGTGTCATGTTGTGTGACTTGGGCAGGCCTCGCTTCCAATATTGCGTCGTGGTGCGGTTGCTTGAGATGCTTGAGATGCTTGAGCAACGGGTTGACTCACATATTCCTTCTGGCCAAAAAGCAGCGACTCAAAGAAAAACAAAAAACGACTAAAACACAATCCTCAGACACAGTTTTCCGCTGGATCAGCCCTGCCCAAAGCCAAGAACAAGACACACCTCGTGAACCAACAAGGCTTTCCTCAGACACTTGTTTCAAGAGGTAGCGACTCCCACTGTACCAAGAGTTTTGGGAGAATGGTTGTTTTGCTTTGTTGCTTGCGTGTTTGTTTGGTTTTCTTGAGGCTTTTTTTGGGTTTTGGTTTTGGGCAGGGCTTATCCAGCGGATTGTTTTTTTGAAAGCATCCTACTTAAAATCCCAGTTGAAAATGGAAGTCCGAGTTGAGGCAAAGTCTATCTAAATTCCAAACTGAAAATAGAATGTCCAATAGGAGCGGGAACAAGTATGTCCTTGTTGAGTCCGATTTGATTTCTATCTGTGATTAGCCATGATTCATTTCATCATCAGGGATGTCGCGGTAGTGACTGACCTGTGATGTTTGGCTCAAGTTTTGGATCCGGCGCGCCTCGGATGAGCGTCGCCGGGCCCTCACGTCGACCGCCTTCGTGTCGGAGGAGAAAGAGACTTCGGCCCGGGGTAGGTTGGTGGGGATCGCCCGTGCGGTTCATCGTCGACCAAGGTTGCGGGTATCCTTTTCTATTTTGGTTTGTTTCCCTGGTGTGTGGGAAACCCTGATCTTTGGGACCGGGGATTGGTTTGCTTTTGGGGAACCTTTCTTTTGTGGCTTGTTTACCTCAACTTACCCATTGCCTGGGCACAGGCTCGTGCCCGAATCACAGGTTATCAGCCGTAGGACTTTCCTACGCGCTTGAGACCATCAACTACAAGCTCTATGTCGACCCCACGATCTCACAGGAGTGTCGTGGATGAGGAGGCCATCCTAGGGGGCCTCCGCTCAGGTGAGGACCTACCGGACTATGACTACGAGGATTTCGAAGCAGGTTCGACAGGTCACAGGTCAGGACCGCAGGGGTGAAGATCCCGGTAGGGACACACCCAGGAGCCGTGGCAGGTACACCGACGATGGAGACGATCGTATTTTCCGTCAGGCCACTGATGACGAGCAGGCACAAAGAGTTCGCTCCGATAGGAGCGGCTCTGAGTCAGGTCGCAGGCGCGGACAGTTTGACTTCATCAGCATGGCGATGAACATGGCCCGCCCTCATTCGGACGACCCGGAGGCCATGCCGACCCGACCCCCGAGATCTCTCATTCCAGGTGAATCGCAGGTCTCGGATGCGTTTGAGGACAGGCCGCAGGGACCAGGGACTATGGTTTTGGCTCCGAGAGATATCTCGGGTCGATCCACTGGTTCTCAAAATCCAGGTCAGTTTGATGAGCACGAGGAGCGGAAATTCACAGGCTTCGGATACGATGCTCTGTTGAAATCAACCAGGCTGGGGCAGTAGCTCAAAGCAGGGGTCTGATGCCGATAGGCCCAACCCTAATACTGCCAAGTCTGAGTTTGAGAATGGCGAGGATTACAATTTTGCGGATGAGGAGGAGGACCATTCGCGCCGAAATGCGGGCAACCGTGCTGCTGCAAGGCCTAGCCCTGCCGCTGCCAAGTTTGAGTTCAATGATGATGATGAATATGCCGCATTTGCGGATCGTCGTGATGAGGAAGAGGACCAATCACGCCGAAATGCTAGGAGCCGCGCTGCTGCGAGGCCCAGGAGCCTCTCTCGTGGAGCCGCCAGGGACCTTCGTGTTGACAGGGACGCCCGAAGCGAGAGAGAGAGAGCCAGGGATAGTCGGGAAGTTCTTCGGGGATTGGAGGCCATCCATGACCGGGAGGGACCGATAGGTCCTCCAGTGGTTGGTGGTACCCCGAATGTTCCCCCTTTTCCCAACATTACATTTGGAGGTCCGTTGAATCAGAGAGACGAGAACTCGAACCGGGTTACTGGTTCGCCGAGGATCACTGAACGGGCTGCCGATGTCGTTGGGACAGGTGCCAGAGATGGTCGGCTTGCCGATGCACTTGGAATCGAAGATCGTCCGTCGATCGCTAGCCCGTTAGGGCGAGATCCCAGCGACCTTGAAACGCTAAGGTCTAGCAACAAGTTCACACCTCAATGGGGATCGACCGCCAGGGAACGTAGTGCTTCCTCGAAGAGGCCGTCACCCCTGGCCATTGAGACCGATAGGTCAAAGGCGAGGAGGGCTAGCCCTTCACCGTTAGGTTCAACCCAGCAGGATGAGGAAATGTTCGACCCTGCTGATGTTCATATCCACTCTACTCCTGAGTCTCGTGCATCTAATGTTGATCCCCGATCTGGCGATAGCCGGAGAAGGGGATCAACCCCGAGTAGGCCATCCAGGATTGATGATAGTCCTGTAGGCGACCCCAGAAGATATGCCAGAGCTAGTGGGGCTCCTGAGAGGATCGAGATATCGACTCCTCCCGCCCACAGATCCCATTCTTCCGGTGAAGGAGGTGTTTTGATTTGCACATCCAGGAGATGCTCGAGAGGGGTGAGGTGTCTGGTTCAGTCGCGAAGGCGTTCCATATCTTTGCTGACCAAATCAGGTTACTGAGCGGTCAGGTGGGTTCCATGCGAAAGGAGTGGAGCGATGAGAATCAGCAGACGAAGGACAGGGTCAGTTGTTTGGCTACTGAGATTGCGACTCAGTCTGATGCCGGTAGGATGCGAATGATAGTTCAGCGGTTTGCCAGCGAAGTTATCCCTGACAGCAAGGCCATTGTGAGGCAAGCCATCGACGAGCAGGCTGAGATTGTGGATCAGAGGATCAACCTGCTTTCCCACGAAGTTCATGAATCCGTTAAGGACAATGAAATCGCAACTAGCCAACTTCGTCAGGTCATTCAGGAAAATCATCAGGCCATCCGCAGGAAGCCATGCTGCCTCTGAGGATGAGATCCTTAAAGACTTAGACAAGATCGGGACGCGAATCTTCAAGGTAGAGAAAACCGTCGGGCTGCGGACGCCGGCAGGTGATCTGACTGCGCAATTGCCCGATAGGGCTGCCAGCAGTGGGGCGGACGCGAATTTCAGGGAACTAAGCCTGAGGCTCGAGAAGATCCTTGTTGAACACGGGAAGTTTGCTAAGTGGGCCTCCGAATCTATTGGTGGCATCAATGAGGAACAGATTATCCTTGCTGATCGAATGTCGAGGCTGCAAAGCGGAAGGGGGTCCCAGGCGGTCGATAGACCGTCAGGGCCTGATTCCCCGCAGGACTGGCATGAAGCAATTGTTGAGCAGTACGAGGCAAGATCGGGAATTTTGAATCAAGTTCTTGATGATATCAGGAGACAGATTCGTAACCTCCCGGCGAGTAGTGATCAAGCACGGTCCGCCGTTGGGCGCGAGCTGGATTCATACCGCAACTCGCTGGAAGCCGCAATGCGAAGGATCACTACTGTTGAGAGTAACATGCGTACTCTGAACGGAATGAATAACAGAATCATGGCCCAGCTTTCTGAAATTGAGGGTCATGTTGATGAGGCTGCTGACATTATTCAGGGTGTCCAGCAGAATCAGGAGAGCCCTCAAGGACCCAGAGAGAGGCGGAATCTTGGGTACAACGCATTTGCTGGGCAGGGACACAGAATCAGGTCACCGACGCCCACTCCTGGCGAAGGAAATGGTCGGGGTACTGACCTTCCAGCAAGGCCGGGTGGGGGTGTTGGCTTGTCTGGCCAAGCGTTGCCGACTGTGCCCGATAGGGTCGATCCTTCTCGTGCGGACAGGCATTCCATTCATCCCGATAGGGAGAGGGCGGACAGCAGAAGCAGGAGAGCCCGGGGACTGCCTGATAGGTCACATTCCCCGCCAAAGCCCCCGCGGACATTTCAGTTTCTCCAAACCGGGATGTGGGTAGAAACAGGAGCCCGAGGCCTGCTGCCGTCCCCGATAGGGGATCTGATATCCGGAATCGGCTATCGAGGGGGGAAAGGACAATCCGCGATAGCGGGAGCATTTCTCCGAATCCGCGATAGCGGGAGTGTCTCTCCGACCCCAAACCGTAATTCTGGAGGTGGCAGGGTTAGTAGGGCCCATGCCGACACCCAGAGTCCCGGCGATAGCTGGAGGACTCCTGGGAGCAGAGCTCATGTTGATATCCAGAGTCCCGGCGATAGCTGGAGGACTCCGGGGACTGCACCGGCTGCGAGAGGTACGCCTGGTACCGGCGGGCCAGATGCGCCAAAGATCTGTGCTCTCGACGATCCAAATGATCGTAGGCATCCCAATGCTGAGTTCACGTGTGTTACATGCAGTCGTGAGTTTTGCAGGCTGTGCGCCAGGACCTGGGCATCCCGGCAAGGTCCCGCTGGACCTCCTGGCGGTCCGAGTGGTGGGGCTCCAACTGGGGGATACCCTGGTGAAGCGTCCGGGTTCTATGGCACTGCTGCTGACTCTCATGGAACTAAAAAACAATCAATGTGGTTCGAGTTTCTATGGTCCAGCCTTTGGGGGTGGCGTCTACAATCAAGGCGCCGGGGCCGGCGTTAGCCAGCAAGGCGTTGCTCCAGGTTACCCTGCGAGCATTGGGCATGCCAGTAACCCCGGAGCGAGTCCGTGTCATGGCTACAGTGTCAACGGGGCCGGTA